TCCCTTGAGATAAAATCTCTTTTTCGAGGGAGACCTGGCCAAGAGGCAGCAGTACAGTAAGACATATAAAAACACATAAAAACAACATAATAAAATCAATCATAAACTAGACTCTAGAATAAGAGTTACAATTCTCTGTGCAAGCGGTTTTCATTAGTGATTTAAAATGCTGTAGCGGAATAAGAGTCCGTAATTGCAGGGAGTTTTGAATATTGTGCCACGACCATGGTGCTGCATAGAAAAATGATGTTTCGCCAAGATCTGTGTTGATCCTGAGAATAGTGAAAAGAACACGACTTAAAGAGCGTGAGTTGTAACCACTGTTAGCTACAGACATGAGGTGACACAGGTACCCCTTATCAAAAAGAAGTTTATTCAAGTATACTAAAAGTGCACTAATTTCATACTTAAAATCCGGCAGTGTACTTAAAGTTTACTTATTCTAAACTATATTTCATATACTTTACAATAGTATAGTCAAGTGTACTTGACTTATACTGATAAGTATAAAAAGAAGTCTACGGGTAAGTAAATCAATACAATGCCTATACTTAAATACTTAATCTTGTACTTGTATTATGGTATATTGTGCTTTTTTTCTTATTTCTGCCACAAAGTACTAATACATGTGCTGATCCAGTAAACAATGAAAGATAAAGTATATTCAAGATCATATAGTACTGGTGTTTAAAAGTTTACAGTATATTGATTTGTATGTAATTTATTTATCTTTGTGTAACTTAAAACATACACAGACACAGGGAAACATTTGACTGACTTTATTGGTCAAGTTCTAGTCTCTCTCACAAGCATTTGGCAATGGTGTTATGTACAAAGCATTATCTCTTTCAACAAGAACACATTTGGTTAGAAGCATGTCAGGCCACACAGCGTTAACAGTTTCAGTTTTTTTAACCTCAAATAAGAAAGTACTTTGTATGTTGATCTGTGAATCTTTACATACAGGTCTGTCTAATTTAGCAAGTACTTCAACTAAAACACAACACATTTTGGTACAAGAACACAAAGCAGAAATTTCATGTGAACATTTTGTTTAAAAATAACCAAGTCATTAATTAAACAAAGTGTTCCATCTTTTAAGCATACTGCACTGTTGTATCTCTTTTTCAATTTGTCATACTTTTGACTATGATACAGAACTCCATTGACCAAAAAACGGTTGAAAGACCAGATGCAGTTGCTTAGATTTCCACACAACTTTGCAATTGCAAGCCTATACGAAATTTTAATAGATTTCTGCATTGTTGGATTACCAAAACCCCTGACACTTTCAGTTAGTACTTTACAACTTTCAGTTTTTCTTTTGTTAAAGTTAAAGTTCCTCAAAAAGATCTGTTGGCATCAAACGCTTTGTTGCAAAAGGTACACTGAGAGTTACAGTGTGCACTATTGCCAAGGTATGCAAGGCATTTTTCACAATAAAAGTGAATTTCAGATTGAGATTAACCTTTAAATTCTTTGTGGAAAAGGTAGGAGGGTGAGGGTGGAATCAGACCTGGAAACATTAGGTTAAAAATTTCCAGTAAGTGAGTAACTGCCTTGCCTGTTAAGTTGTGTCACAGCACATAAGACATTAGCATCAGTATACTTTCTCCCTTTGAAATAGATGCACCAGGATATAGGGGGTTGTCACCATCTGCTTGGTCTTCAGAGCCCTATAGAATCAAGGAAAAGAGAAAATATGTATGCATGAAAATGAACAGCAGCAAACTTGAGCAGTAATCTCCATCTAGCATAAAGCATTTTACCTATAGCAAAATTGAAAAACAATTAATGCATAGTTTTGAAAGTAACTCCCTTCTTTATCATTATTATGTATTGTGTCCAAAGTTTTTAATTTTTTTGTAACAGCCCTACTACTATTAGCACTATGTTTTCGAACTACTTTCTACATACCGCTTTAAGTTTGGGTGTCTTTTCTCCAGCATTATTCCCCTCCATCATGTCTTCATCATCAGCATGGTTTTCACCTTGATTACTAGACGTATCAGTCAAGTTGTCTTCAGAATATGACACAGCTTCTTCATTCTACAGGTTAACAAAGAAAAAAGGAGTAGTTGAAGAAATTAATTAAAAAGAGAAGGCATTTATATAAACTACCACATACAAAAGTTAATTTACCTCTGGAATGTGTACATCCAAAATGCATGTGGTCATGCTCTCAGTACTGAGTTCCTCATCTTCCCCTTCACTAGTGGAAGTGTCCATACAGTGTTCTTCTGTGTTCATTTTGTTATCATTCTACATATGAACAAAAGAAACAGAGTTGAAAATATATTTTTATAAGAATGTTTGGATTTGTGCAGCTAGTGTGCTGTTGTTTTTGCTGGGTTAGGCTAAAGGATAGGTCAGCTACTACAGCAAACTGCTTTTACTGTGAAATGTGTGTACCATTGACAAATTGAGGGTGTAATTAGAACCCCCTGAAGAGTATTACTCTGATAATGAAATTGGCCTAGTGCATTACCCTATCCACTAAAAGAGCAAACAAAAAATCCCAATAAGGCTAAAACTGTAATTAGAAGTGTACCTTTTGTATTATCATATCAATCATGGTAGTTGTGGAAGAGTTGTCATTATTGAGTTCGTCCTCATTGCTGGAACTGCTGGGTTCTTCCTCTCCATCTGTCAAAGTGTTACTCATGGGATCGTCTGTGTTGCTGTCAACATTACAGCCAGTATTCTACAGATTGAAAACATAAATAATGAATACCTAAATGAATTACTTCATGTATATCAAGTCCAATCAAAAAATCCAAAACAGAGCCTTAGCTGCCAATATTAAATAAAACCAAGCATTACCAAGATAAATATAGGAATTTATCCTGGCAACAGAAGATGCTTTGACATCACGGATCTCACCAGGTTGTAAGAGCAAAGTTGGGGGGAGCAATGTTTTTCATCTTATTACTCTATGCTTCACCTATATACGTTTTCTTTCCTGTACCTTTGTTAATTAAGCCCACCCCTATTTCTTTTTCTTTTCTCCATGTTCAGAGGTGACATTGGTGCCTCTCATTAAGAACTATGTTCTTATTTTCCAATGTTTCTTAGTGGCAACAATTTTGAGTCTAGTGCCCTGCTAAACCGATATATTTAGATAATTAAATGTATGTTATAATTTGGGGAAAAAAAATCCCCTTGAGACTAAAACTGTCATTTTATGCTTACCTGTTGAAAGGCCATGTCCAAAGGACTTGTAGTGAAGGAACTCCTGCTGTCTACATCTGTAACTCTGCGTGAAGCAACAGGCTGACTCAAATGCTCTGGTGTGTTGTCCGGTAGGCCCTGGAAAGGTGGAATGTTTTACTTGTTTATGACCACTCAAGGCATTTTATTGTCCACAGGTATACTGAGTGGATCTTTAAAATTGTATTTTGCCTACAAATAAGACTGTATGTAGACCATGGGCAGCTACAGAAAAAACCAAGAAACAATATACTGTGTATATATATATATATATATATATATATATATATATATATATATATATATATATATATATATATATATATATATATATATATATATATATATATATATAGAATTTACCAGGCATTTACCATGGTGGCTAGCATTCCATGCTAGCCACCATGACTAGGAGACATACACACATGAAGTATGTGTCACATCTTGCCATGTGAGTGAAGGTTTTAGTGTTGACATAAAGATTCAGGCATCTTTAATTTTAAACTCTATGGCATCAATGAAAAAAACACTTTCAGATACTCAAACCCTTTTTTCTCAAACATAATGATACTTAAATATCTAGCTTATTATTTTCTGGAGACTAATTAGTGATGATCTTTAGAGGGCAGGCCTGAACAAGGGTTTGGAATAAAATAACTTATCAAAAGTAATGGAGATGTCTGACAATTTGGCATTTCGGCAACCAATTAGTTTCGGAGGGAAAGTCCACAGGAACTGAGCGCTGCAGTTGCATCTAACCAACCAATAGGCTGCCATTGTAGCCTGAAGACACCGCCCCTCATTATCATATTAAAGCAGAAGCGAAGAGGGGAAAATAGAATGTGATAAATTAAAAAATAAGGAAATACTTAATGAATAAGGGAAATTGGAAAATGGGAAAATTTAATTTTTTTCAAACAAATGGTAAATGAAAAATAGATAAAAGAAAAATTGGTAAATAAAAAAGGGATATAATAGATATAGAAATTGATAAATGAAACCGGGAAATAAGAAATTAGGTTAATGGAAAAAGGAAATTGAACAGTGGTTAAAAAGATAGATTAATGAAAAATGGGTAAATAGATAAAGAGATTAATGAAAAATGGGTAAATGAAAAATAGATAAAAGAAAATGGGTAAGTAAAAAAAGGGATATATGAGAAATTGATTAATGAAACTGGGAAATAGAAAATCTGTTTAATGGAAAAAGGAAATTGAAAAATGGTTAAATTAAAAAATAGATTAATGAAAATGGGTAAATAAATAAAGGGATAAATGAAAAATGGACAAATGAAAAATAGATCAATGAAAAATAGATAAAACAGAAATTGAGAAATAGATAATCTGAAAAATAAATAAATAAAAACATTGGCTTAATGAAAAAGGGAAATTGAAAAGTGGTTTAATGAAAATTAGATTAATGAAAAATGGGTAAATAGATAAAGGGATAAATGACAAATAGATAAATGAAAAAGAGAAATTGGGAAATTGATAATATGAAAAATAAATACATTAAAAATTGGTTTAATGAAAAAGCTAAATTATTTATTTAACAAATTTTTTATTTATTTCACTCATTTTCTTCATTTCTTGATTTATTATACTCATTTTTTATTTATTTCACTAATTTATTTATTTAATTTTGGCTGAAATGGCTCTCCATACAGGGGTGAGTCTTGTTTCCTGTTTCTTGTTTAACTCCTTATCAGTTGGTGGCGGTAATGCACTTTAATCAGTTTGTTAACCGCCATAAAACCTTACAAGAAGAAGAACTAAATCAGAGCAGAAGAAGAAGAATCTCATGGGTGAGTAGGAGTGGCGCATCTTCCTATCAACGATCTCTGCAGACACACCCACCCTATCTGAAAATCTTTTTTGTTTTCATAGCTTCAGAACATTCGGCGTAAATATCCGCATATAAACGGAGATTCTGCTAAGGTTTGTTTGCTTTCTAATGTTATAATTATGCACACGATCAGATCAGAAGGAGAAAACGCCATAACAGGGAATGCGTGCTGATAACCACTAAGAGTTGAACTTTCGACCTTTATCCCAGTTCTAGGCAACCTGTGTGTGTTCACGTTTTGTTCTACACAATGCAGAGACTACAGCTTTTAAAGTAAGGATTCTGAAATAATTCATAATAAGCTGACACTAACTTACGTAGATGTGTAATTTATGCATACTTGTTTTTCATCCAGTTTTATTGATGCTTTGCAGGGAAACGTTCTTTGGACTTGATGTTTTGCAGCAGCAGCTTATTGTAGGCTGCGCTGTGGCAGCAGCAGCAGGAGGAATACTGACCTATGTTTTGCAGAGAAGGGGGAAAGTGAGAACCATCCCTGTTGGAGAGGGATGGTGGGGAGCAGGAGAGAAGTCATCCTCAGATGATGAAAAAATCTACCCTTTTACAGTGCAAACATCAGATAAGGAGATTGAGGTAATTTGGACAATTCATACTAAACTGGTGGACAACAATTATTGTTGTTGCAATTTAACTTAATTGAATTTTACTCTAATCAATGATTATAACAGGATTGTCTTGCAGAATTACCCTTTTTAGCTTCTTTTAGCTTTCATTAACTCTGACTAGCTCATTTTTTTCCTATAAAGGAGAATCCCCACAGCATAACACTGCCAGCATCATGCTTCATGGTAGGGATGGTGTGTTTAGATTAATGTAAATGTACATCCCTTTATTGTCCCACAATGGGGAAATTGCCTCTCTTCATTTAACTCCCTCCCTTTAGTTATTTTCCTTAATGCCCAAACACTTCAGTTTAGGTCTCATCTGACCTGTGATTTTTTGCAAGTTAGCAGAATGGCTTTTTGAAACCTTTTTAACATCTAATTTTTTATATCTTACTTTCTTTGATTTCTTCTGAACCAGGGATTTATTCTGGCCCTTTCTCATACAGGCCAGATTTAATAAGAGCACAGCAAATTATTTCTGTGGGAAAATTCTCCCACCTGAGCTGTGGATCTCTGAATGCAGTGTTTGGTTTCTTATTAGTTATTCTTTACTTTTATTCAGGGAGGTCTGAGGGAATACAATCTACATAATCATTTTCAGATATTTATTTTGAATAAAAAAACTAAAATAATCATAAATATTTCCTTTCACCTCCCAAGTTTGCTCTACTCCTTGTTTGTTTATCACATAAATTCCTAATAACAATGACGTTTGTGGAGGTTATGTGGAAAAGTTAAGTTATGATTCATTTTTCTTGGCATTTAATATGTAAAGGGCTCAATAATGATTTTGTTTACCAGGACCTCTATGAGCGCATTGACAAAACCCGCTTCACAGACCCTTTGGAAGACAGTGCCTTCCACTATGGCTTCAATTCCACTTATCTTAAGAAGGTGGTATCTTATTGGAGGAATACATTTGACTGGAAAAAGCAAGTAGAAATGCTTAACAAGTATCCACACTTCAAAACCAAAATAGAAGGTATGCAAGAGTGCATAATAAATCACTTTTTCATTTACCGGTATCTAGCTAAGTGTTTTATACCTTTCGTTTCCATGCAGGACTTGACGTGCACTTCATCCATGTGCGCCCATCACAGAGGGGGGACCAGAGGGTTCTGCCTCTTATGCTTGTTCATGGCTGGCCCGGATCTTTCTATGAATTCTACAAGATTCTTCCACTTCTCACACAGAAAGATGAGAGAGTTACATTTGAGGTTGTAATCCCATCCATTCCTGGCTATGGCTTCTCAGAAGCCCCTCATAAGAAAGGTGTGTTTATAAATATTGTAAATATTTTGCTCCGTTCATGAATAAGCCAACTTGAGGCACTATAATGTAAAAACAACGACGACAACAACAACAAAAAAACATTAATTGAATTCAATTAAATTCAAATTCTGAAATACTTTATTAATCCCAAAAAGAAATTAGACAATATATTTCTATGATAGTAAATTTGAGCATTTCATTAGAAGATAAACTGTAAAATCCTGATTTCAATCTATGAGTTAAAATACAATAATCAAGTGATTAAAGTTGGGTTTGGCCTCCACAGAAAATAATTCAGAGAAGAAATTGTCAGTTTCCGCTTTATTGTAACTAACAGTTTCTGCAGAGCAGAGATTTTAATGCAGTTTTTTTCCCGCCTTGAAGAAAACTTTCCACCCTTTGCAACATTTCAGGTCTAATATGATTGTTTATCTGGAATCTGGTCACAGCATTTTGGACAGGCTGCAGCTTTCAGTAAAGCCATTACAGTAATCTAGCCTCATGAAAATATTTTCAGAAGGTAGGCTGATTTGGTCAAACATATTTAGTTTTTAAAAAAAACACAGATCTGAGTCAATAACAATATATTGGTCTCCTTCATGTTCTTTACTTTCAGGCGACTCAATGGGTTTAACTTATAATTTACTAAAAAAAGGCAGCAAGTTTTTCCTTCTTTAACTTGGAGTATATTCTAGTGTGGGGCATGGATGTAATATTTTAGGTGTAACAATAGAAAGGGGACAGAAGAAGGGGATTCCTTGTTAACTGGATCTGTGCCATTTCTCTTAAGGGGGTCATAGAATGCAAAACCGTGTTTCATAGATAAATAACGATAGTTTGGTGGGTAAAATGGATGTTCAGAGAAGTTCAAACCCCATCGACACCTCCTTTCTCTGCAAATCTCACAATTCCAAACTTCCACCATAAAACGGGCGAATTCAAACGAAGCCCAGAATTGTCGTCAATTCAGGGATTTTGCCTTATTTGGTTCTGACCTGTACTTTTGTCACACCCCGAAGTTGACATACAGACCAGCCCACTGGTTTACGGCCCAAGATCATAAATGGAGGTCGATGTAAGACACCAGTTTAGCTGTTTAGCCTATAGTTGGGTTTACTTCTACAAGAATTACAAAGCATAGATTCTCTATTGAAAATGAGCCACAACCAGGGGCCTAAATGCAGTATTCCAGGCTGCATAGAGAAAGGGAAAATTTTCACATTCTTCCCATGATCCGAAGACTCAACAGACATGGATTATTGTTGTGTATCAGAAGATCCCTGCAAAGTTTGATGCTCAGCTGTTCATTTGCTCTAAGCATTTTACTGAAGATAGATTTCAAAACCTTGGACAGTTCAAAGCAGGATTTGCCAGAGAATTTGACGGAGCGCCCAAACCCGACCCTGTGACGGTAGCTTGGACAACCGTCACAGGGTCGGGGGGAAGCACAGGGACGCCGTTGACCAGGCTACTGTCACAGGGTTCGGTCGCTTCGTCCCCTGCTGGCTCGCTGTTTTTGCTACGTGCTGCATTGTAGTCGACCTAATAATCCTGGACAATTTTTAAAAAAGATGACGTCTGGTCATCCTACCATATCAACAATTTGATGTTTCAGTGAGTGAGTGCTTGTTTGCGATGATGCGTCTTTGCTCAGCAGCTTCGCTCGTTGTAAACCAGCCAGTCAGCGCACAGCTCATCTAAATAATAATGAGCATCCCATTAAAGGAAGAAAACCCGTCGTTTCATTATAGCTTTTAACCAGGCTTGCATTAGGGCTCATAGAACAGCAGATATGCCACACAACCTATTCAGAGACCTTAAGGACCAGCAACAAATACACTATATAATCATTCTATGAGCTCTTTAAATGATGAGGCTGACATCCTTAAAACCTTAAGTTTAGCTTAAATATAAGCTGAAGTATTGGAATCTATCTGTGAGTGGAAGCTATGGGTGCTTCCTGGTCTTTAGTGGATGTTTGTGTGTCGAGTGTAGTTGATACACCTGAGGTGATTGAGCTGTGGGGAGATTTTAGTTAAAAATTACGGCCATTTAGTCAATGTTAGTTGGAAACTACCGGTATCCTTTTGTTTTTGTGTTTGGAAAGAGTATAGCTCACTTCAGCTACTCAATATAGCTGCTTAATTCATATTTTAGTAGTAATGCACATATTAAACATACAGGAGAAAATATAGATATCAAGAGTTATTTTATCCCGTATTCAAGTGTAATAATCTGATTTGAGTCATAGCAGAGCTGGGGATAAAAAAAAAAGGTTTTTCTCTAAAAGCAAAAATGTTTTCAGCAAATCCAAAAAAACAGCTAGCTGCAGTTATATAGAGCTGTAAAAAAGGAATACATTTTTCAGTTTTTAAAATTTTATCAAATTACATCTAAGGCTGCAACTAATCGATTTATCTGTCAATTATTTTTTGTCAATTAATCAATTAATTATTGTATAGCCATCGGTTCCTTAAAGATGATTTTTTTTAAGAAGTTAAACCAGATGACACTAAAACTTTTCAACTTGAGGAGTTCTGGATAGAGCATACTGACAGACAAAAAAGTTTTTTTTATCCTTAATGCAAAATATTTATAGATTTTTTTTTACAATTTTGATATAATTACTACTCTACGTAGGTTACCCTGTCAGTTAAAGGCATGTTTTATGGTCTCTGTAATCCTAGTTAATTACTGAAATACTGGACGATTATTTCAATAATCTATTAATCCACTTAGTTGAGTGCCCTGCTGCAAGTTTTCCTCAAGTGGAAAACTTGCTCTGTAACAGCAAGATTCTGTCTCTTGTTCACAAAGCATGATGCTGCCACTACTATGTTTTAAGCTCGATGGAGGGTTGTTCAAGTTTTTGTGTTTTGGCTAAAAATGTCTGTAGTTTAATGACCAAATATGAAAAAACTAACAAAAAGAATAACTTTGCAAGGCACTACAATTAATTTTTTCCTGTATGTTACTTTGTTAGGAAGTTAGACTGTAGGATAAGGACTGATACTAATATTGATATCCTCCTCGGTGTGCCGGTAAGGAGCACAGACAACATGCCTTTTCTTTCCTTGTTCTTTAATTGTACTCAGGCGATATACAGCAGCCTCTCCATATTCACACTGATACAGATGTCAGCATAGGTGAACCACTTGTGAATATTATTGTATGTGGTGTTTTGTCATCTACGCACATAACTTCAGCTGCACATGCTTATCGGCTCCGTCTTCAACTAATTAAAGTGCTGCACAGTTCTGAACAACAAGCGCACTTACCACAGGGTTCCCGCGGGTCCTTAAAAAGTCTTAAAAGGCATTAAATTCTTCAAAATAAAATTAAGGCCTTAATTGGTATTAAAATGTCTTAAATCAGTCTTTTGTAGGTCTTAATTTTTAAAACATCATAAATTGGATAATTTTTATTACGATTTATTTTTGTAATCTAAATAAAACATTAAAATTGACAATTTTTTTTTAAATTTAAAACAAATAACGGTTCGCCATTATTGGTTCCGTCCCGATAGCGGAACCAATAAAAGCGTTGCTGCGGCCGGGACATTTGGGAGATGCGCCATTAACTTTTTGTCTGGAAAATATGAGCAAGTGTAAATGTAACGAAAATTGGCTCCAGCCAAGAGTTTTCTCCATGGCTAAAACCAGGGAACATACATAAGGCACAGTGGATTTTGTGCAAGAAGCGATTCAAGCTCGGAATGATGGGAATTTAGGCAGTGGAGTCGCATATGCGAAGCACAAAACACAAGGCGTCAAAATCGAGTTACCGAGAAACAGCCGGTATTTCTCGGTTTTCTTCCACCCTTGTCTCTGTAACGCCTTCACTTATCACCAAATCAAACATACTGAGAAAACGATACAAAGAAAAATAGCTGCAAAAAAGACTTAGCACTGGTTATGTTGGGAATTTAAAACTGATTTGTTTTGTTCCCTGCTAACACAAAAATTTGTGAATTCAGTTAAATAATTGTTCAAATATATCTGTCATTTGTGTGTTTTTAGCTTTCTTCCTGTATGGGAAGCTTTTCAAAATTTGAAACATTAGTGCAGTGGTTTATGTTATAATAAACCTTTGGGTAAAGTTGTTGCAAGCGGGTGTTTCTTGTGAATTTGGTCTTAAATTTTTATTTCAAGTGGCATTAAAAAGTCTTAAAAAGTCTTGAATTTAACATGCCTTATGCTGTAGGAACCCTGTACCACTTTTCGCCACTAGATGTCTCCCAACACCTTACTACAGATAAGTGTCTGAATGTTTTACTGCCTTTCCAACACTATATTTTTATAATTCTTTTAAGGATTTAACAGCCTGGCTGCTGCTCGGATTTTCCTCACTCTCATGGATCGTCTGGGCTTCTCCCAGTTCTACCTGCAAGGAGGAGACTGGGGCTCGCTCATCACCACGAACATGGCTCAGATGAGGCCTGAGTAAGTGTCAGTTTGTTAGAAAATGTTGCACATGGCCTTATCTTTGACATGGAATTTACAAAGCTGACTTTGTGTTGTTTGGCTGTGACGCAGAGCGGGCCCTGTGCGCACAGATTTCCAGAAAACTTTGACACTATAAACTCCTCAACAATAGGATTGAATGTCATAGGAAGACAAAAGCCTTTATGACTAATTTCTATCTGTTCCAGCTGTGTGAGAGGTCTTCACCTAAACATGTGCATGACGACAAGGGGACTGAGAGTGCTATTGTCCACGATAATCGGGCCTTATCTACCTTTCCTAGTGGGCTTTAGTCGGGAAGATGTTCGCAGGCTGTTCCCCTTCTTTGAGAAGAATGTGTGGGAAATGCTGAGGGAATCTGGTTACCTTCACCTTCAGGCGACTAAACCTGACACTGCAGGTTAGGAAGCTTACTGATTGCTTTAAAGACAGTTCAGAGTGACTGGAGATTGCTGCCTACTGTTTTTAATATCTGCAGCGTTGCCTCGTCTTACATTCGTATGTTTTTGCAGGACGTGGACTGAATGACTCGCCTGTTGGCTTAGCGGCCTACATTCTGGAGAAGTTCTCCACCTGGACCCACTTGAAGAACAGAGGTCTGGAGGATGGTGGGCTGGAGAGGTAAATCAGTAAACTGTGTGCAGCTTCTTAAATCAGACATTGACCCATCCTCTTAAATTGACCCATCTATGGATATTATAGACATTTTGCTGCTAAACAAGTTTGGTTTATCATCTGCATTTGTTACACATTGGCTTAAATCAGTTCCAGTTTAAAATCTAAAACAATGAACTGTTGCCCAACTTGATGTTTATTAATAAAAAGCCTAATTTGTTACACGCTGTACATTTAAAGAGAAATTAATCTAAAAACATATTACAGCTGCATTAGTGCAATTTTACAGGGATAATTAGTGCTGTAACTTGGTGAATGTGATCGGTCCAGCAAAACCCTGCATCAGTGCATGTATCATTTCAAGAAAGACTCGTGACTGATACAGGAGCTGTTTCTAATTGACTGATGCAGTTGACTGCATTGATTCATTGACTCGCATGCAATCCCTCACACTAAGCATGCTTGTAGCAACAGTGGAGAGGAAAAACTCCCTTTGAACAGGAAGAAACATCCAGCAGAACCAGACTCAATGTGAGTGGCCATCTGCTGAGACCGACTGGGGTTCAAGGAGACAGAAGCAGAGATACAAAAGGCAGCTTTAAATGCGGCCCCGTCCAGGAAACACACAGCCAGGCAGACGAGCTCTGAGCCGGATGAAGAGAGCACATCCAGCCAGTCAGCCAGAAAAACAGGACTACACTGAAAAACAAAGCTACTATGAGAAAAAGCAGAGACAGCACAATGTTAGAGATTGAACCAACATATTTTGCAGAGTGGGAGATTAGAGATAGAATGATGGAAAAGGAGTTCCTATGTCCTCCTGAAGACTTAGTCTATAGCAGCATTACTACAGAGATAGCTCAGGATAACCTGAGCAGCTCTAACTATAAGCAAACTATAAGCTTTATCAAAAAGGAAAGTTTTAAGCCTTCCCATTAAAAAGTATTTAGTGACACTGTATCAATGTGCTGAAATGCTTCATGACGCCTCATGAACTCATCACTACTTTGTTACAAAACTAACAAGTTGTACAAAGAGACACAGGTTCCAGAAGCCTGGGCTAAACATAAAGGCAACAAAGATATTGCTTTTCAGGCATTTGATAAATCTTTCAGAGTTTAAAGGGGAACACCGTTTTTTTTTGTTTTGAGTTGAAGGCACAAACTAAACAATCTATGATTTATGGTACGCCAGCATTTATAACATGTAGGCAAATCACTGTCCCCCAGACATCCGCGGTTATATTTATATTTTTTTAAAACAAAGCGGAGTGTGTATGATGTCATCGGCGCGCGCCAGCTTCCATTTATTCATCCTGTTCGCTGAACTGCTGCTAGTTTTACTCACATGCCTGGAAGATGTCTAGTGCTACTACCACAGATGATCTCGCTCTCAAAATGGAATTCAACGATTAAAATTGGCTACCCGAATGAATAGAAGGGGTGGAGCGTAGCCGCCTGTGGCCCGGGCTGCCTATCACAACTCCAGTCAGGCGCGTGGATGACATCATACACACTCCTCTTTGTTTAAAAAAAATATAAATACGGTATACAAAATATAACCGCGGATGTCTGGGGGACAATGGTTTGCCTACATGTTATGAATGCTGGTGTACCATAAATCATAAACAGTTTACTTTGTGCCTTCAACTTGTTGCCCATAGGAAGACGTTACATGGATTATAAAACTGAATATCTTCAGAACAGCTCCAAATGACACAAAACTAATATGGGTGAGTAGAACATGATGTAATAACGTACAATCAAGGGAACAATGTAAAAAAAAAAAAAAAAAAAAAAAAAAAGAACGGTGTTCCCCTTTAAGGTATTTCTAAAGAATTGACAAAATGCCAGTCTGTAGACTCAGATTTTTTATTTTGTTAGAATGTTTAAAGCTATTTATCACATTCCTATCTACTTTAGAATGACAAACTAGTTTAAAGTAAAGCTGTGGCCTCATTTGTTTAAAGAACATGCAAATTGGAATCTGTAATGCAGGGAATCAAAAATATAATTAGAAAAACATTAACAAATCCATCGGGATCCCAGTGTTTGGACTGCAGGGTAGTGGAGTGCCTGTTTTCTGAAGTGATCAGTGATCTCTGCTTTCTCTTATTGTTTTCCTTTCTTTTTAAACAGAAAATTCACTCTGGACGATCTTCTTACAAATGTCATGATCTACTGGACTACAGGCTGCATCATCTCCTCCATGCGCTTTTATAAAGAGAACATGGGCAGCGACATTGATAACAGAATTGATTCCAAGTGAGGCTGAATAAGCTCTTACTCTCCATACTGATTTATTCGTTTTAACTTTGCTATGATTAAAACGTGACCAGCACCGTTTCTCATTTGTTCTAGGACAGGGATATTTGTGCCCACTGGACTTGCTGCTTTCCCCCAGGAGCTCATGCACTGCCCCAAATCCTGGGCACAGATTAGATACCGGAACGTCGTCTCTTACACCTTCATGCCCCAAGGCGGCCACTTCCCTGCATTTGAAGAGCCCCAGCTGCTGGCCAAGGACATCATCCAGTTTGCCAAAAAAGTAGAAAAGCTCTAAACTGCAGAAGGAATTCTGACTCCAAAAGTTATTGCAAGTTTTTCTTTTAATTATAAATGACATGATCACACTGCACCAGTTCAGATAAACCCTAATCCTTTCAGTTAATCTTTTTCCTAGTTATGATAATTAAAATGTTAATGTTTCAGTGAATGTAAACATGTAGGCAGACACCTGGACATTCATATTTGTTTTCTAGAATGAAAATAAAGCAGTTCATTAAACCATTCAAGTTATTGTCGGTATTATATTGTGCAAAGTTGTGCTCTTCTTAATATGTATGAAAGGCAATGCTTTATAAATAAAAATATGTCTTAAAAGCCAGAAAACATGTCCTTTGCTGGAGACTTTAGAAAGATTCCCTTACATTTCTGCATGAATGAAGAAACATTTATAAATCCACAGTTTTAAAGCCAACTTCAATAAAATATATACAACCTAACTCTAAATGAATGTTCAGTTTTTAATCAAAAACCCAATAAAATAGACTTTATTAAATTCTCAGATTACTCAACAGTTGGGATCAGTGGCTGAAACCCTTTATGGCAATGGGTGCTTGAAACCAGACATAATCCTGCCACTCTGACCCATCTGCTTTATACCCCTTACAGATGCTGGGATCTGTAGACAGGGTAATAATTCGGTTTTGAACCCGCGTTGGGACTTTAAACTGCAGTTTAGGTCTGAACCATCCTACACCGCATTCTCTGTGAGCCAGCGCCAGGACTGTTGTGGGCATTAGGCGAACCGGTTTGGTGTCGGATAGGAGGTCGGCAACGAAAAGAGTGCGGAAGAGCTGCCTCAAGCAGGAGGACACACTGAGAGACTGATTCCCAACAGCCAGAGCCTCCATGTTTATCTCGTACAGCTCTTTAGGAAGAATGAGGGAGCCCCCCATCAGCAGTAAAACACGGGGCACTTTGCTCAAAGAAAACAGCAACTCCAGCTGCTGCAGCACCTCCTCCAGGTCCTGAAGAGTCTGCTGACATTTACGCTGCTCCATAGCTGCAGACTGCGACGGCTTTCGAATCACTGCATCTCTTTCCTGAAAGGCAAAAAAATAAAAATGTAACGTTTCTTCAAAATCAATGGTTTCAAATGAAAAAGCCTCCGAGTAAGCTTCCCTCCCACCTGGACTGAAGCTTGCTGCTTTTTCTGGGAATAAACCAGCTGGTCATACGTCATTGGCAGCTGCTGTCTTTGATAGAGGATGCACTTGAGGATCTCGCAGACAAAACGGTAGCAGCCGTCCTGAGTCACAGTGCCAGGGAAGACCACGCTCACACAGCCTTCTTCTCGAGCTTTTCTCACCACTTCAGCATCTTGTTCCTCAGAGTTGACGTGCCTTTTGCTAACAGCCACACAGGGATCTGGTCCTGAAATCCTTTCTTCTCCGTCTGTGCAGAACCGGTATAACAGGTTAATATTCATTCTAAACAGGTGTGGCTATTCCAACAGAATGAAATCAATGTACAGTAAAAAAAAAAAAGCCCCAGTTAGTTACATTTTGGTTAATATGTAATTCTCACATATTGGTTAATATGTAAATTTCACATATTTCTAAATGCAACATTTTGATTAACTAAAAACAATCCCATAAAAAATAGGGTTAGATGGTTAGACTGAGAAACAGGTAGATAGGAGAGAGACGGATTGATCAGTTGATGGACATGATTGGATTGCTGCTAATTAATGACAAGTCTAGAAATACAAATAATGTTCTCTTATCTCTAAACCTAAAGCAAGTTTATTCATACCTTAGCTAAGCTAAATATATGACAGCCCTTTGCTCTAGGATGCGAACTCAATATGACAATGATAATAAACTCAATAAAAGCCACATTAAACTTAGCAGAGAAGACTGGAAAACAAGCTAACTCACCTTGGATACCATTAGCAGCCTCAGGAGGGTTTTCCTTATCTAGCGAATTAATCCCGCTGTGCTCTTTCAGAGATAATCCTTTAAAATCAACAGCATTTTCTGATTTTAGACATATTTCCATTGTTTCTGTTCGACTTTCTTCGTCTGTTTCCGTTAGGGGAACGCATGAATTTGAGTGATCGAGATCAGTCTGTAAGCTAAGCATGGAACATGTCGCACTGGGCTCTTTTCCCGAGCTGATGTCCCTCTCCGAAGTAAAGGAGAGTCTCCTCTTTACTCCGCTGTCTGGGTTGTGGACAGCAGACGAGTTTTCACTCTCATCTGAGTTTGATACAGGCTGTAAAACACCAGACTGATCTGCCATTATTTTTGAACGTCCGCGCCTGCCTGGTTTTTCGCCGCTAGGAATCATGGGAAAACCTATCAGATGTTGGGTTCATGTTCAGTGACAACAGTCGGAAAATATCCTTTCAATTTCTACATTTTTATTTTAAAGTAATGTTTATATATATATATATATATATATATATATATATATATATATATATATATATATATATATATATATATATATATATGAATGACTGTTTTACGGTATCTGAGTAATATGCGCAACTACGTTTGTGTGTAGCCTGTCAGATTGTAATCTTAGAAAACGAATAACAGCCCACAGATAGTTAACAAATATGGCGTGCTTTGGCGCCCTCTAGTGGTTTGTTTTTGTAGAACACGCGGTGAAAATAAAAACCCAGGTGTGAATAATTAAGAAGACAAACGTTTAATGAGAAAAGTGGGGAACCATACAGGTAGACTGGCGGCTGTACATATATTTTATTCTTCCTTCTGATTTTGCAAACAATGTCTTCGGTGCGTGTAGCGGTCCGAGTCCGTCCTTTGAATAAAAGGTAGGTGTAAAAGGATGGATTCTCATTTTTAATGTTAACTTTCTAAAATTAATCGTCACGCCACTTTACCTTCAACAGAGAAAAGCTGTTATCTTCGAAGGTGATTATTAACATGAGTGGGAACAGCACATCTATTCATAAGGTACAACATATTTTCATGAAAGGTGTTTAGAAATGGCTTGTTTAATTTATTACTGAGAGGACCATTCATTTTATTTTGCAGCCTTTACCTTGCAGAGGGGATAAACTGAAGGACAGAGGGAAAACTTTTTCATATGACTATTCATATGACTCAACTGATGTAAACAGTCCAACCTTTGCATCACAAGAGAAGGTATTTTTGAAATCTAAAATCCTACCTTCTACAGTGTTTATGTATTTGAAACTTTCTCTTTTTTCCCCTCTCAATCAGATTTTCAAGGACCTGGGCTCTGACGTTTTAAAAGCAACATTTGATGGTTTCAATGCCTGTGTTTTTGCATATGGGCAAACGGGATCAGGAAAATCTTACACCATGATGGGAAACAAAGTAGGATTTTTTTTATTTTATTTTTTTATGTATTATTTGTGGTACCTTCCTATAACAGGGATGTCCAACTCATTTTTCTATCCGGTCAGTTTGGCATAGTCAAATCTTTAGCAGGACTAGTTTTAGCTATATGTATAAAACATGATTTCATTATCTGGTGTTAAGATCTTTACTTCCATTATTTTTGACTTTTAACCAGAAGGCAATTTTCAATTATTTGTATGTGTGTGTGTATATATATATATATATATATATATATATATATATATATAGCCAATTCACAACACCTGTAAGCTCAATGTTTTTTTTACAGAGACAATTGAATCAGGTTATACCGACAGGTTGGTTAAAACGTTTCTATCTAAGGAGACCCAACTGTTTGCATGGCGACATTTATTGACTTTGCAGGATTTGCTCCTCCTGAGCATGTGGCTACATCAGACATTCTCTTGCACTGCATCTTTGATTCTAAAGCAATGCCTCACTACATTTTAAGAGCATATGCCTTTTCTTTACGAAATTATGTACCTTTTTGGCTCTTAAGGACTCGATAAATTGTTGTGAAGATCTAAATTCGGTCTGCAGGCCTGCAGCTGGAAACCTGCTCAAAGTTTTTATTTTTTTATTATATAATAAAGTCTGTCTTAGATCAGTGGTCTGAAAGAATGAATTTATATTTATTTCAGACAATTAACAAATAATAAAAATAAAAGGTGAATCAATTTCAGAAAATATTTTAAACGAATAACATCGTACCACAGAAAAAGTGATTGATTATGGTTTAAAATAAATTACATTTTCAGTTTCAAATAACTTAAATTCATATGAACATAGACATTAGCTACCAAAATAAACAGAATGTTCCACTTAATAAACTTGCCAGTATATGTAGCCTGAGATCTGACATTGAATATTAATTCATTTATAATTAATGATTATTTATATTATCTCCACTTTCTGTAAACATAAAATGTCTTCTGGAGTTTTGCTACAAAATGCATATTTACTCTAATTGCTTTACCTCTTTCAACATTAAAGCTTCAAACTTTTTAAAAATATATCAATATAATCATAAATGAGAGACCAAAAATAGATATTCCTCAGTGAGAGTTAGAAGGAAATCATGCCAAATTTTGACTCACTTTAATATTTTTTCATACAGATTTATTTCTAGCCCACTATGTATACAGTAAACTTTCTTTGCAATTTTCCCCACCACATTTGTAAATCTAGAGAATGACCTTGTTTGGAATTGAGCTTGGGCAGAAAGGGCAGTTAACAGGTTTTCTTCCAGGATTGCCCTTTATTTGTAAGAGTCTGCACCGACTCTAGCCAGGTACCTTGACCTTGCAGCATTATGTTGCCACCTATGTGGGTTTGGCATAGGGGAGCTTATTCCCTTTTCTTTCCTTCAAAAAACATATTTTGTCCGTATAGGCCATCTTCCTTTTTTTCCTATATAAACTATACAATCCAATGTACAGACATTTCTGCCAGAACTGTAAAACTCTGCAGCTCCTCCAGAGAAGCTAATTCTCTCCTTGTAGTTTGGTGTTCTTGTTGCCCAGCCTGTGAGTTCTGGTGGAGGGGGTATCTTTGCTAGGCTTCAATTAGATCATACTGTTCCCATTTTTTCCCCCACATCTCCTTCATAATTGTTCCACAGTAAAATATTCAAGCACTGCTTTTTTTAACATTTTTTTTTTATTAAGGCTGTAATCTGTCGATTATTTTTTTCCGATTAATAATCTGAAAGTCCAAAAATTCCTTAAAGATGACTTTTTACAAAATTAACAGGTGAAACTAAAACTTTTCCACTTGTTGAGTTCTGGATGGAGCATATTGACAAAAGAAAATGTTTTTAATGTTAAATCCAAAATGATTTTATATATTTACAATTTTTTCCAATTTTGATATAATTGCTGCTCTAAGTGGGTCGCTCTGTCAGCTAAAGGCATGTTTTAGAATCCCTATACTCCAGTTAATGACTAATCTTTTACTAAATTAGTTGATGTTTATTTCAATAATCGATTAATAATGATTAATCTGATTAATTGTTTAAGCCCTAAAACCTACCCTTGCTTTAAACTTGTCCATAACAATATTCTTAAAAACTGCTTGATTTTCCTCCTTTTCATTCGTCGAACATCTTGAACCTTCACCGAACAGTGATTCATACTGAGATAAAATTAAACATAAGTTGACTCTATTTGCTAGTTCTTCACAAAGCAATGAGGGGCGCTTCTATGTTGAGATACTGGAGTACAGGGGCTTGAACACCAATGCATTACAGCCATTTTCAGGTTTTTAGTTGAAAATAAAAACAAAACAAAGCAGTATCCTCTTTATTATTTGTACCAATTTGTGTTTGTCATATAAAATCTCTGTAAAATCTGCTGAGGTGTACAAGATACTATTGTCTGATAATTGTCAATTAAATGAAACATTCACACATGGCTCTGGGTTGCACATTGACAGACTCTGTAAACATTTGAAGTAATGTAACTCTATTTTAGAGCTACAATCTATAGGCACTTGACATGCTTTAGTTATATAGATTTCTGAAATACAGCAGCTAATGCAATTGGGTGTTCATGCATTGACCTCTTTCCTTTTTTTAAAAACACACTGCAGCCTTGTTATCCTGGCTTCTCTCTCTGCACTTATCAGAAAATGTTATGGTTGGAGCAAACGTCTGTTCCTCGCACTGCAATGGGAATCTCGCATTATGAGTGAGGCTTCTTATGTGTGGACTTGTGCAAGGTCATCAGCAGATTTGCTGTCAGCGTCAGAGATAATTATATATGGCTCTTAATACGTACTGTCTGTAAGTTTGTAATTAAAAACAAGAGGACACACAGCTCAAGCTGGAATTGCTTTTATGCATCAGTGACTCCATATCAGATGAGCTGATGTTTTTGTTGCTCAGCATTCATTGCATGTGCCAAAGTTTTGTTTGCACAATACAGTAAACTCTCAGATTAAGATTATATTATGGGATCTAAGTGTTTAAAAAAAAAAAAAAAAAAAAAAAAAGTTTAATGTAACATTAGTTATTGCTGTATTGATTCTAACAAATTATTTCTTTAAGGCGGATAAAGGTTTAATCCCACGAATCTGTGAGGAATTGTTCCTGGAGATTTCCAACAGAAGTAAGAGTGAGGCCATGTCATTTCATACAGAAGTCAGGTAAGCCACCCTTACATCTGCCAGGTTATTTCAGTTGAGTCTTTTTTTTTTTCAATGTATTGACGACTACTAATGCTTACAGATGACAGAAGTTACACCCCCTGATCTTTTCCAAATAAACATCACAGAATGTTTGCTGTGTACCTACAAATACAGATGATCTAATTTCATACTACTTAATTCCTCAGATGCCATATTGGATGGTAGTAAGGAGATTTTCATTCTGAACAATGCTTCATCCCATTATACACCAAGCATCACTATTTCTTGTCTCAGGGAGTAAAATGAGGAAAAGAAATTCATGGCATGGTTGTCATCCCCTGACCTCAACTCTGCTGGAAAATCTGCTGAACCTTGTGAAAAGTTAATTCTTCTTTCAATGGTGGGGTAGGCTCCAGTCCATCTGCAAATAGCAATACTATAGAAAGAGAGGGGGAGACGGGCATTTATGAATTTTAAACAGAAAATCAAAAACTGGTTAAGGCAGTTGTCAAAATGTTATAAAATAAGGCTTCATTAGTGCATTACTTTTTATGAAGCCATTATTCAGTAAACAAAGTGGTCTGGCTATAGTAGCCATGGTTCGACCAACAAAACTGTAATCTGAATTAGTGTCATCAGCTAGTGTTTTTTTTTTTCTTCCACATTTAAGTTTTGTGAAGATGCATGATGTTTTTTGCACTCAAACATAGGACTAGGCTGCACGTCATCTTCTCTTCCTCATTGCATTTTTTTCCTGTACCATTGCATTTCCCTGATGTATACCTTACTATCTGGACTACTAACTATTCAAGTGATTTTGCCATGAAAGTTGCTGTTTAAGCTGCTTGACGTTGCATTAGCACTTTGGATTACTTTCAAAAGAACGGTGTGAAATTAAACCAAACCAAGGATAAATTCTTCTGCTTTGCCTGCCCTAATGCAGTGGTTCTCAAACTTTTTCTGTCATTCCCCACTTTGGACAAGAGGGAATTTTCAAGCCCCGCCTGTCCCCATCGCCCCAACACAATGCTAATGAAATATGCAACAATCTTAAAATGTTCAAATTTTATTGAAGTAACAAGTAGTATCTAAATACAAACTATCTACATCAAATAACAGCAAGCTCAAAAATAAAGAAAATAAAAATGCAGCTGTGTCAAAATTTGTATCAAGCTCAAAGATAGAAAAAATTAAAGTGCCACTCTGCAATCTGTTAATAAAAGAAAAGAAGTGAAATCCATCTGGCAATACAGGTCTATTTATCCCTGCATTAGTGGCTGCAATGAGCCTGTTTTGCATTGCAGTTTCTCAAAACGGGGTTGCAGGCTTGATACTGCCACTCTCAAGTCATGCTCAATGTTCAGCTGAGATCTGTATTTTGTTTTCAGTGAAGCAACAGTTAAGCCCATCTCACAGAGATATGATGTGGCAAAGGGAAGAAGAATGCACACAGCTCTCTGCCCGATGAGTGGATACTCCCTCTCCACTCCAAACCAGAATTCACTATTAGTCTGAGCATTAAACCTGAGCTTCAGGGTGGAGTCAGACGTCATTTCAATAAACTGGTCCTATTTATTTAAGATAAAATATTTCAAATTCAGTTATTTATGATCAACCTGCGCCGTCAATCCCGGCGCACGTGCGCTTTATTTGCAGTCTGGACGCTGAGGGTAAACATGCTGTGTCTCTGCAGCGCTGAGAGGGACTCCTGTGATAGCGGGGGAGAACGGGGTTGGGATGGGGGAGGCGCCCCACGGCAGCACCTGCCGCTGGAGGACAAGAAAAGGAACGATACGTGCTTTCACGTAAGAGTCTCCAAAAGTCGCTAATTTGTCGCTAGTCGCTTTTTTGATAAAGAGTCGCTGGAGGGGTCTGACATATAGCGACAAAGTCGCTGAGTTGGCAACACTGGGGCGAGAAAGTTTATTCCGTTACAAATAATATGCCGACGTCACGTCAATCATTATTTTGGCACTTCAGTTCCAGGTGAAATTTTTCTAATGTTCTTTTAATTAGACTGCATGTAGGCTAGTAATGATTACTTTGTGGGTTTGATTGGTCTAAAAAGCGGCAACATACAGCTATAAGGACAGTTTGCTCTCACACGTTCTACATTTATAGTCACACACACACACACACACACACCGGAACTTGGCGCGCCCCACCTGTCACGTCTCAATTCCCCACCAGTGGGTCGCGCCACACACTTTGAGAACCACGGCCCTAATGGATCAGTGTCCAGCTCGAACGGGTTTCAGCTGGTGGTTTGAGAGGACGTTGAAAAATTGGTGGTGGCTTTTTAAAATTATGCTATTCCCTTCGTGCAACATGCCATTATCCCTGGGATGAACCAATGTAAAGCCATGATGCTACCCACACCTCACCGTGCTTTAAAATGTTTTCTCAGGTCACAAAATAACCATATCCTCAGTGTATATAGGAATGGATAAATTACTGTTTGACCATGCAGCCTTTCAAGGGTTGGAAATCTGTGGCCTCTTTCTTTGTTTGAACTTCCACTGTGTACAATGACAATGGTCTTCTAATTTATAAAGAGCTTGATCCTTGGTTGTTTCTTAGGTTTATCTTGCCTTGTCATCCAATTCTAGAGGGTATTTCTGCCAAACATGGATCAAACTGGCACTAGAATTGATGAAACAGAGTTCTGTTTACAGCATTCTTTTTATTTATTATTTCATGGCTAAAAGCTTGTTTCTTTGTCAAATAATACATTTTAATGCCAGCAAATCTATTGATTTCACTTGGAAAAAGCAGCTGTGGCATTCATAACTAACAAATATAAACGTGTCTTTAAACCAAAAAGCAGTGGTTAAGTTTTGATATAACTGGTACAAAAAAAACATAGTAAGTCCAGTGTCAATCTTTGATTTTTTTATTTATTTATTTTTTTAACAAATTCTTGCATCTTGTTTTTCTATTTAATACCAGCTATCTTGAGATTTACAATGAGCGTGTACAGGACCTCCTAAAGAAGAGAACACCCTGCTCAGAAACTGCAGGCCTTAAAGTGAGGGAGCATCCTACGGATGGACCCTATGTTGAGAGTAAAGCAAAATTCATTTTTAATTGTCCATCTCGTCCAAAATGTCTTGCAAAAATGCTTGAGTCTGATCAAATATTTACTGTTTGCGAAGACCTATCGAAACATTTGGTGCACAGCCAGAGTAATATGGAGAGCCTGATCATTCTTGGGAATGCCAACCGCACCATAGCCAGCACAGGCATGAATGACTTCAGCAGCCGTTCACACACCATTTTCACCATCACATTTACACAGGTAAGTCCTGAATTACTCTTCTTTTGAGCTATTTATATTTTAATCTCGTTTTAACGTTATTGTTCAACCTCCATCTGTGCTTATTAAAAGTGTATACACTCTTATCTACTGAAATGCAAGTATGCATGCATTTTATGAAATGTGCTTTGATTTTTTTGTATTACAGGGATGGTTTGATGGGGCGCTGCCACATGAGAGACGGAGTAAAATCCACCTGGTGGACTTGGCTGGCAGTGAGAGAGTAGATAGCACTCACACCACTGGCACCAGGCTGAAGGAAGGTGCCAACATAAACAAGTCTCTGGTCACCCTGGGCAGTGTCATCTCGGCTCTCGGTAAAGGAAGCTTTAAATTAGCTTGAGCTCATATTTAGTTTTTTTTTTTTTTTTTATAAAAATATTATATCTTCAAGTTTTTTTTGTGTTGTACACTCATAGCTTTTCGTATCACTGCTACAAACTTCGTAGAAAAACTAAAATTCAATGCATGTATATTTTTTTAAACTTTTGTTCTTCAAAACAAAATCTCAGGTAGCATGCATTTGTATTCCATAGAGTGGAACTTATAACCTTTTAAAATGAAACTCTCCTGTGCGCTTTAACACAACTTTCTCTAACCTGCAAGGTTTCCATTGGGCTGTTTGTCAATCTTTATTTTCATAAAAACTCTTAGACTTTCACAGAACAGCTTTTAGTTCACTGTGATTATGTATTTCAAGTTTTTGGAAGTCATTTAAATGGGCTCATATTATTTTATGTCTAATTGAAGGGGGCTGAAGACAAATGCCAGATTTTGGGTAGAATTATAAATGGAAATTTAAATCCAATATGTTCCACTTTACAACAAAGTACTAATTTATTATGGGCAATTGCATACAATCCTTAATAAAAGGCGTTGACTTCTAATGCTAAAAACAGTCCAGGAGGTACTGTTGACAGGCATTTGACTGCCTGCAAATTCTTTTTTTTTTTTTTTTAATATTTATTCCAATAGAAATGACTGACCTCTCTGAAATAATTGGAGTACAAATCTTTGGCCAAGAAAACTTTATACTTCTGTATCGCCTACTTCTGGTCAAAGACCTTTTTTTTTTTTTTCCTGAAATCAATCTATAGAGCTATAAGAAGAATTTTTTTTCTTTCCCTTGTACCTTGGGTCATTGTGTGTGTGTGTGTGTGTGTGTGTGTGTTTTTTTTCTTTTCTTTTTGATCTAACCTCAGCTGACCTCGCAGTGAGTGGACAGTCGGGAAAAAGGAAGCAGATCTTCATTCCGTACAGGGACTCTGTGCTTACATGGTTACTGAAAGACAGCCTTGGTGGAAACTCAATAACTACAATTGTAACAAGTATGTGTTATGAAGACCTTTCAGCTGTATGTCAGCAGTCTGTGTCCTTTTTTTTAATGCCTTATTGTAAATGCAGTAATGTAATATTTGATATGACTCTTCATGAGCCACTTTTCATTCCTGCACGGTAACTTCTCATGGCAGCCATTTCTCCTGCGGACGTGAACTACGAGGAGACCCTAAGCACACTGCGCTTCGCCAGCCGGGCTAAGAACATAATGACCACCCCAACAGTAAATGAAGATGGCAGCACCAAGGTGATAAGAGAGCTGCAGGCTGAGGTCACGAGGCTCCGATCGCTTCTAGCTGAAGCTGCTCAGGTGCGTTATTTCTTTAGTTTTTCTTTTATAGGAGAAAAAAACAACAAGATAAAATGTAGTGTAAGCCTTTAATTGGTTTTCACCAAATGTAAAGGTATTTGAAGGGGATTGGTGTGCCACTGTGAAGGAAGGGGAAATGAGAAACCAGGTGAGTCAGAGGGAAAGAGAACAGATTCGGGTAACTATTTAAATATTATAAAGGTTATTTCTGCTGCTTCCACCAGGTTGAACCACTCACCAAAAAGTGGAGCACTAAGTGGAGGGATGCTCAGGATGTTCTGGAGGTACTAAAATTATTGACACTTTAATGTTTTAACTTGAGCATCTGCTTGCAATAATTATGGTGCCATTTTGACTGTGTATGAATGAAATGACAGTTTCTTTTTTTTATGTAAGCATCTCTAAATTCATATGTTTTTTAGTGATTTGTCTTTCATCCTTAAATCACCCAATTTAAGTTATAATTGAACTAGCAGTCTTGTTAGGCTATTTGAACTTTTATGACTGCTTGTAGTTACAAGCTCTAGCCAGCAGGTGTCACTGTGAGCCCTTTAAATAGTCCCGGCATGCATGGGTCTGTTGGCCATTCAGTTAGATTTTTTTTTATTTTATTTTTTTTTACCCCCTTTAAATATCGGGATTTAAATGAAATCCAAGAGCAAACATTTTGTGCTAATTGTTGGATATTATGTATTTGGGAAGTTTGTAAGAGGAGTTTAAAACAAACTGCATGTCTTCCCTTTAGGCAGGGACAGAATGGTATCATCCTCAAAACATCCTAAGGTTTCACAACACCACTGCCACTGCCGCCAGCTCTGAATTTACGCTGAACTCTTTTCTTCAGATACATTTTTGCCCAGCTCCTCAACTAACACCAAATGTCACTTTTTGGAACTAGCTGTATTCAGCCATGTCGCTTGTTACATTATGCATCAAACTGAAGTGTGCCAGCAACTCAGTGAAAAGTAAGACAGACTTCTCCATCAGATTTCAAACTGTTATGAAAGTCCTGCTAAAGTTAAAATTGAGCCATCTGAAAACTTTTTAACAGCTTGATTTTAGCGTCCTCCTGCTTTTAGAATCAAATATAGGAGAGATGGTGAAGTTGATTATGTTGTGCAGACTTGTGCATATGTTGTTTATATGTGGATGTTGGATAATTAGCAGGTGACTTTTAGTGGCTTGACAGTCCTGACTCATTTGCTGCTTTCTCCTCACCTAATTGAACGATCTTGAAGATTGATACATGGCCCTTTGATTGTAGAATGTCTTGCATATAAATTAAAGTGCTATAAATGTTTGCATGATCATGTAGTTTGAACCAGCCTCAAAGAATTAGGATATGCTGTATTTTACTGACAGTGACAGTTTATTATGCATGATTCCGTTTTACATCCAGGCAAAAGTGCTGATGACCGCTAGACCCAGAGATGTTGCAGGATCTCCAAGTTTAATTGAAGACTTAATAGATTTAATATTTCTTCATATAGATTTGCATTCAGGTATTTTCAAAAAATATGTTGCCTTCTTTTTGTAAAAAAAAAAAAAAAAAAAAAGTGATAAGTGCTTAAAATAGGCTCCTACGCACCTTTTTTAACTTTAAGGTGTTGTTTCCAAAAAAGTCTTAATATCCTCCTGGATATTACCTTTAATTCTTATACAAAATAAATGGCTAAGAGCTATCCCATCTTTAACAAAATCACTAGTGTCACAATTATTTTTGAGCTCAAGAATCATTTTGATTAAACCCTTTAAAGTATATGAAACAAAAGTGGACACAAACACTTAGAAATAATCTGTATCTATGTACTTCTAGTTGGTAAGAAATTAACTTTTGGTTTCCCTTGGGCAGGGGAATATGTCCTCACTCAATGCTATTCTTCCTCTACTGCTACCGGCTATAGGGCTGGATAAAGTCAGGATGTTGGAAATGCTTGAGGAGTCCTACCAAAGACGGATGCACTGGGTTCAAATGTTCCCTATCAATAACAGTGGTTCCCAACACCATTCTCAGGGACCCCTGTGCTGCATGTTTCATTTGTTTCCATGTTGCATCACAACAGAAAGAATGGATAATTACCAGGTTTCTGCAGCACTTGATTGCACAGGAAGAGCTCTAGTTTGAATCAAGTGGGCAGAACAGAGATTTATCTACAACATGCAGGGCAGGGGGTCCCTGAGGAACAGGGCTGGGAACCATTGATCTTTAGTATCCCTTAAAAACCACTTAGTTGCACGACAGAGAGCGTTAGGAAACCCTTGCAGTATGTTAGCAATTAGTAAAAACATCAAGGCTTCACGGTATTGCAAAATGTCTGTATAGGTAGCCATTAGGGATGCACGATATTGGGATTTTGGCCGATATCCGATATGTCGATACTTTAAAACTCATGTAGCCGATAACCGATACCGATATTAAAGCTGGACAAAATAAGTAGTCATTGAAAATAGCAGTTTTGTTATCCATTTCTGACACTTTGAAAAATAATATACTCAAATATATTTTCATATGCTGATATCAAATTGATTTTTAAAAACGCGGCATCGATCTATTTTACTTTCAAAATGTCGTGAAATTTCATCGTTCTGTTACAAACTCTTGTGATATTTTGCAAATTCTTGTGATTTTGTTAGTAAAATAGATCGATACCGCGTCAATATATCAACATATAAAAATATGGCAAAATTTCGTGAAGTTTTGGGGGATTTTGTAGCATAACGATGACGTATAGCAATATTTCATTAGTAAAAGAGATTGATATGGTGTTTTTAAATGGCAATATATCAGCATATGAAGATATTGTGATATTTTAATGTATCAACACTTTTTCCTCATCTTTAGAAGTTTTTAAGTCTGTAAAAAAGAAGTTTTTGAGGAAGTAGTTTTTTTTTTTTTTTTAGACTTTAGAAACTCAGAAGCTGATCAAATATCGGGTTAAATATCTGTGGGGTGGCCGATGTCCGATATTCAGTTTTAAGGCCGATACAGGCCGATACCGATAGGGGGCCGATTATATTGTGCATCCCTAATAGCATCGTAGATAGACTTCTTTATCAGATGTGCAATGCACACCTTGAGGACTATGTGACAATCAGAATGGTCAAAGGGCCCTTATACTTGCTCCATCTTAGTGAAACGTTAAACTAAGTGGTATACTATTGTCAAAGGATTCTTTACTGCATTGGAAAAAAAAAAACATAAGGCTTTTACATACCTTTTTCAGGGGCTGCAATCTTTCATATAAGAGATTATTCTTTGTTTTAAAATATTCCATCTGAATGTGAATGTTAGGATGTCCTATGCTAAGTTTAGTTTTCCATATGAATAGCATAGTCCTAGCTTCAATTTTGTGTAATTCAGGTGAAGCCGTTGTCACAAGTAAAAGGATTTCTGAGCACTTATGAATAAAGTTGACCAAAAGCATTGTAAACTGAGTTTTGCATTTTGTATTCAAAGCAGATTTGAAATGCAAAGTTATTCAGCGTCAGCTTCCAAAGATTGGTTACAGGGCATGTGGCAAAGAGAAAGCAATTAATATGAGAGAGATTTCAGAGCAGCCTCTTACCAGTCAGAGGCAGTAACAGATTGGGAGAACAAAACAGAAAGCAAGGAGGGTAAAGTAAAATCATGTTCTACTGCCGGCTTATACATCGGTATATTTGTAATTGAGATACACACATTGCTTTATATTAAGAGTTGCATCTACTTCTTGCAGCGATGCTCTCAGGTCCCTTTGTAATGCAATGTCGGAGGATCCTCCATTTCTGTAAGATAAATGAACCAAAACCTTTCTTTGATCTTGGTGTTCATTGCATTTTCAAACAGCTAAAATCAGCACAACTTAAACTTTCAATGCTTTGAGCCTTCCCCTGGTTTATGTCAATTTGAACCACAGTGTCAGCAGTTTTACATCATGGTCTTTATAGCATTTCATAATGTTTGCATGTTATTTCACTTTATCAGGATTACTGGTTTTCTCTCACGGGAGGTTAGTCTAGCCAATCTTAAATCTGCTCTTAATTTGATTAGAAAATCTGATTGCCTATAAAAAAGAACATGCCTATAAGCATTTAAATTTAATTTAGCTGGCCCCAAGTTCAATAGAAAGTTTCATTGCACACACTTTGTCTAAATTATTAATCGATTTGTTATACCAATCACTTTTGAAATTTCAGTGGATCTTATCCATAGATATGCTGACATCTGGTCAGGGGCATGGCTAGATGTGTGTGGGGGGGGCTTTGACTTAGACTCATTGGCTACAAAGTAATTTGTTGTTTACATGTAGATGTAATTCAACCTGGAAATGAGCAGTTCCTCTATAAACCAGACAGTGGCAGCATTGACTTTAATTGTTAGAGTATTAACCATAAACTTCCCAAAAAAAAAAAAATAAACCTAATATACTTTAAATTAATATATTGACATTATAGATGACAAATGTAGAATTAATCCTTTTTTCAGGATTATTCTTGTGTGGGATTTGGAGTCACATGTGGTTGAAGTTTGAGAGGAGTAAAAACTAAAACTTTCTAAATGTATGTATTAATGTACATGTATATTAATTTTATGTAGTTATTTAACATGTGTATGCAATAGCATTAGGTGAGCATCTCGCAAAGATTGGCATGTTGGACAACCCATTCATGATTGAACCGGAACTTAAGGCTGAAAGATTGTCTGCTATATCTTAAAACAGCATACCGGTATATGCGTATATGTCTATCAAGGGCTTTAGAAGAATCTAGTTTTACTTCTGTGATTTCATTGGAAATATAAATTTTCCTGTAGGTACATTGCAATCAGTGCAGATTGACCCTGAAATCGTTCAACACGTTTTTTGCCACCCCTCAATGCACTCTGCCCCTTCCTGGCCACGTCTCTGCTTTTGGCAGATAGTATTTCATATTGTTGTTATCCTTATCTTACGATTATCTTAAGATTGCCAGTATTTTTATCATAGCTTTGCTCACCTGTGGAAAATGTTTATTAAAATAATTATAAGTTATTATAAATATAGATTTTATTGGACACAATATGAAAAGGTACTAACGGGCAGTGGTAACAGAACATTTTCTTCTTTATAATATAAGAAATATTTATGTAACTGACAACCTACAGGGTAAATCTTAGACCAGAGCAACTCTTCTTTGCTCATGGAAAATGCTATGCAGCTAAAAGCTTAGTTGAACCCACTGGCAAGATCCTATTTACACAGTCTTTGCGTTCAACAACATATTACAGACTGGGGTTTACAGTCTTTCAAAACTTGCATCTTTAACTTTAGATGTACATGCAGTTAGCTTTAGATATTGATTTGTGGTTTGTTTTCTTTAATCTATAAATATTTAAACAGTTTAAACATAAAAATATTAAAAGCTTAATTTCTTTCTGTACGTTGTGAAATGTAATTACTAAGCTGGAGTACAAAATCATTTATGCTCATAGTTTTGGTGCAGCTGCAGAAACATTCTGGCCAAAGAAATCCCAGAAATGCTTTCCTCCATTTTTGTCCCAAGTTTAATTACATGCTGGTGGCTGGATTGAAATTTCAATTTAATTTCACAGCAGTTTATTTTACCATCAGGCGCATAGGTTTCTGGTTGAAATTCTGCTCTTGCATGTTACAAACTAATGAAAAGGAGCATGAAAAAGGAACGACTGTTAACAAGGTGGCAGTTCTTTAACACAAGTATATAATCAATCACTGCAAGCAAAAGACCTAGTCACTTTGAAAGCTGGTCACGTAATTGCTCTCTCTTTTATGTAGAAGCCCTTTTAACATTTATAAAGACAAGCAATCTGGGATATTAATACAATTCGTTTTAGGAAATTAACCTTTTAATGTGACACAGCAATTTAAGCATGAAGGTGTTTCCATTGTTCAGGATTCTGTATTATTTTGTTCTCTTGGCAGATTGTTCTACTTGATAAAGTTAATAGTCAGGAGATTTAGCCAGCTTAGTGCTGTGCTGTTTTGAAATGCACTTTGCAGTTCCAAAAGGTCGAAAAAGAATTCAATTAAAATTCTAGCCAAATGCAAAATGATGGCTTTTGATAGGAGTCTAAGAGCTCAGAGTCTGGCTGCTGGTCCAGGCCATCTTTAATTACAGTATGCTCACCAGCTGCTTCAGTCTGAAAGCAAAAATATTTCCCTTTTATTTTGATCATGCAACTTTTACTATATTGGTAAACCATTGTTTTTTAGAATGAATTTTGGTAGATATCATCTGTTCCTTGGGTCTAAAGGAAAGTGACATACTGCATTAAACTGACAGGCTGCTCTACACCTCTAATGAAGGCTGTGAAAAATCCCTTTTAATTAAGTACAAGGGGCTGTGGTCGATGCCTCTCCCTCTTCATTAGAAAAAAGGATTTCTCCCGTCTCACAACTGCCAATGGATGAGGAGGTGCTGGTGGTTGGCACGTCTCTCTCTTTACAGTCTAATCTATAGAACAGAGTGGGTGGGGGGAGGTTAAAGGCAGGGAAGATCAGTTTATGCAAAGCATATTCTCTGTATTGGATGACATTTTTTTGCTCGGCCTCTCGAAGTGTCTTTTATTGTGATCCAAAATGATGTGAGGCGTTTCTCCATCAGCTAAATCAGTGCTACTTCTGATCCCAGCCCTCGTACATTGGAAGACTTTTGACTGAAGATCAGCAATTGCTCTTTGGAGGTTACCTTTCCCTAAACACTTGCTTGAAGACTTCTCTCTTCATTATAGCTTGTATTGTTTAAGTCTTCACTTCACGTCAGGGTTAACCATTTTGCTTGATTCCAGATTCAACTGCTTAAAAGTCTTCGGTCTAAAACATAATAGGTCTTTTGTAGTTGGGGGGGATTTAAAAATAAATGCGGCCCTTTTTCAACTACATGATTTGTAACTTGTGCATCCCATTTTCACAGCAACCATAGCTGAAGGCAAATATTTAGTCCAAGCAGATCAGATGGTTTTAGTTTTGTTCTCTCCAGAAAACTTTAGAGGAATTGAAACGGTCAATGTCATAAGTGCTGTCTGATGTGGAAATGCTAAAAATAAAGAGACATCGTTTGAAAAATACTTTGTAAATCTGAAATGTTTGGCAAATTATGTTGAACTGTGATCTAATTGACCGATTTGCCATTTAAAAAGGCTCTTTTATCCTTTGTTCAACACAGAACTAGGTTGGATTAGTAAAAGTTTAGAATTAAACTGCAGTGAAACCTTTACAGCTTCTATCTTGGTAGTGCTGGATCTCAGGGCTGCAGTTGGTCATAACATAGAGACAGAGTATTTTTTGCCTGATACTGTGCTTAACTGATTCATATCATGGGTCATCCTCTAGGAGGCCTTTGACATTGACAATCATAAATCCTGACAAAAAATATGACTTGGTCCTCTACTTAAAACTTTGAGTGTTAAAGCATCTCTTACCACCCACATGTTGATGAGAACTTTATGTAGTAGTGATCACATTATCCAAGAGAGTTACCAAGTAATCTAACCTCCTGAGGGTTTTTGTTCCCAAATGCATGCAACTTAGGTTATATTTGGATTCTTTCTGTATAATGCATTTGAGCTTTTATTATTCACATTTCTGGCAGATTTTGATTTTGGGCTTTATAGCAATCTTGAAGATTTATGGTTTAATTGTAAATTATCTTTTATCTTAGTGTTTTGTTCTTTCATGTAGCTTTTTCTTAACCTTGGTAGCAAAGATGATAACTGACATTTATAGCGAATTTAAGGTTTTAAAAATCGAAGTACAACCCTTTTAACCCTTACAACCATTTGAATTGTGCTTTGTGATTGAAGGTTAAACACGCCCCACCTTTCCTTGTAATCAAAACTATTACAGTTTTTCAAAATTTCTTTCTGTTCTTTATTATACAATAACATTCTCTTTGCTTTAATGGATTTATTTTTTCACTAACAGAATACAACAAAATTACATGAAAAATGAATAAAGCCAAAGTTTGTTTGCTATAGTTTGAAGCTGACTTACTTTCTATATGGTATTTTAACAGTAACATGCAGCATCCAAAGCAATGTACCAATAAAGGCAATAGAGCATGGCGTATAACCTGTGTGTGAGGACAGGCTGCGGAATTGTGTCGGTCTCACTCACTGAACACAATATGCAGTTTGACTTTCGGCGCCATAATCTGAATGATTTATGTCATCACTTTTGCCGTTAGCCTCTCTTCTGCTTCATGGTGACACATGGCTGGAACCCTGATATTCTGCTTGGCCTTCAGGCGACGAAGAGCAGTCATAAAAAATTTTGTTTTCTGCCAGTTGCCATTAAATGTCTGTCAGCGTTTTTATTGTGTAACATTTCAGCTAAAGGCTACTGAATGGATTTGTTTTTCTTTGGGTGTGTTCCCACAGGAGAAAAGTGTGGCTCTGAGAAAAGAGGGGAGTGGGGTCATCTTGGACTGCCAGTTACCTCATCTGATAGGCATCAACGAAGACCTGCTCACCACAGGAATCATCCTCTATTATTTGAATGTGAATAGATTCCACTTTTTTATTTTTTTTTTAAAAGAAAACTATTTCAAGAGGATATACAAATACTGAGGCGAATAAAGGGAACATGTAAACGACACAATGACTTCAATTAACTCAAACCTCTGTGAAATTAAACTGTCCACATGGGAAGCAACAGTAATTGACAATCAATTTCTCATGCTGTTGTGCAAATGCAATAGACAAAGTGTGTAAATTATTGGCAATTAGTAAGACACACTCAGTGTGTCTTACTAATTGCTGACCTCAGACCACTTCTCAATACCTATGCTTTCTGGCTGATGTTCCAGGCAATGTTGAATGTTGGTGGTACTTTCACACAAAGTGGCTCAGGTTGTGCAGCTGATCCAGGATGGTACAACAAGCTGTGGCAAGATTTACTGCCTGTCAGCATAGACGGCAAGAACAGGATGAGCACTGCTGGAGCCCTGCAAATTGACCTCCGGCCTGCCACAGATGTGCATGTCTGCACAGACTGTTAGAAACCGACTCCAAGAGGATGGTATGAGAGCCTGACGTCCACAGATTGGGGTTGTGCTCACAGCCCAACACCATGCAGGACACTTGGCATTTGCCAGACAACACCAGGATTGGCAAATTCACCACTAGTGCCCTGTGCTCCTCACAGACGAAGGCAGGTTCACACTGAGCACAAGTGTCAGACATGAGAGTTTCGAGACACCATGGAGAGCGATCTGCTGCCTGGAACATCCTTCAGCATGACCGGTTCGGCAGTGGGTCATTAATTGGTTGGGGTGGCATTTCTTTGGAGGGCTGCACAGCCGTCCATGTGCTCCCCAGAGGTAGCATGACTGCCATTGGGTACAAGGATGAGATCCTGAGTCTCCTTGTAAGACCATATGCTCTGGTGGTTGGCCCCGAGTTTCTCCCAATGCAGGACACTGCTAGACCTCATGTGGCTGGAGTTTGTCAGCAGTTCCTCCAAGATGAAGGCATTGAAGATGAAGGACTGGCCCACCCGTTCCCCAGACCTGAATCTGAATGAGCGCATCATGTGATATGTCTCGATCCATCCTCTGTCATGTTGCACCACAGACTGTTCAGGAGTTAGCGGATGCTTTATTCAAGTACTGGGAGAAGAATCCTCAGGAAACCATCTAGCATCTCACCAGGAGCATGCACATGCATTGCAGAGAGATCATACAGGCAGGTGGAGGCCACACACAATACTGAGCCTCATTTTGACCGGTTTTAAAGACATTACAGCAATGTTGGATCAGCATTTACTGTAGTTTCCACTTTGTGTGTCAATCCAAATCCAAGCCTCCATTGGTTAATGCATTTGATTTCCATTGATGGCTCTTGTGATTTTTGTTGTTGGCACATTATACAAGTATCATCTTGTTACTCTATAGGAAGGCAGAACCTTGATTGGAAGTGATGAAGCCCTATGCAGTCAGGGTATCGGTGAGTGAAAGCCCCCATACTAAAATTGCTTTGCCATATTTTTTGCTGCTGTAGCATCAACGCTTTCTAAAACTGTCTTCTAGTGCTTTCTGGACCTGAACTCCTTCGTGAACATTGCCTGCTTGAGAACTGTGCTGGGATTGTTACTCTGCTCCCTAAGGATGGCGCACTGTGTTCAGTTAACGGCTCTGTGGTCACACATCCCTGCCAGCTGAATCAGGGTAAGCATTTATGCTAAACCTAATTTTCCTCCTGATATTCTTGCATAAATATGAGGAGTGGAGGGGGCAAAGCACGACTATAATAATGAAGATTTTTCTCCCAAATTTGCAATTATTTGGCTTGTTGCAGTCAATAACCCTTTTATCTGTTTTGAGTGTGGTGAAATGACATCACTGGATCTCATCTGCAAATGAAATCCACTTTGTGTCGCTGGCTTCCCCATGGAAACACACTTAAGGCATGAGTGGATTGTGAACACTGCTCTTCACAGGGCAGATGCCATTTCTCTTACTAAACATTTTGGAGGGCGAGGGGCCCTGGACAAAGCTCTAGACAAAGCCTGAAGCCCTCAATTTAATTGGCAGATGGAGTTGATAGGGCCAACAGGTTTTGAAGTGGGCCAGAGCATTAACCTTTCAAAGGATAGAGGAGAGTCTAGTTAAAACTCTGCACCCCCCCATCCCTTGGCTCTGTTTGTCAAGGCTGGGAGCTTGAACTGCTTCCTGACTCTTCAACAATATTGCTTTGGTTTTCATGAGATAAAAGCTGCACACTGAACCAACCAGTGTGTAGCCTGGCTATAGTATTCTATTCTTTTTTTTTTTTTTTTTGTAACCTTTTCAATTTATCCAATATTCCTTTCAGAAATGGCTGCATCTAAAGCCATTTTCTTGAACAAATGATAGTAATTTTCTGTCCAGCAGCAGCTAGAATCTATCACAGGCTGTTCTCAGGTGCTTTGTCAATCGTCAGAAGTCATTAGTAGTTGCAGGATTTGCTGTACAGAGAGTAGTGGAGGAGGAAGAAACCTAGTGAAAATCTGTGGATATGGCCGTATGAATGCAGCTCTGATATATAAAGCCTTATATCACCTAAATTCTTCCAAGTTACAATACTTGGAGGCTTCCATGTATCCTTTCTGCTGATAAATTATAGGCCTACTGTTGGTTAAGGCCACTGTCGATCATGTGATGGGATTATGTTCCTCATTGCAACAGATTCATTTTCTTCAGTAACAAATCCAGTTGAGGGAAAAACTCAAATACCAAATACGTTTTCAAACCTTAGTGTGTAGATAAGTTTCTGTAACAGTCATTGAAAGCTTTCTCCTGGGCCATCTCTCTGCTGTTTTATGCATAATGAATACTGCAGATGGAACCCTTTCATTTCCATTTAGGGAAATCATATTAGCAGTGCTTCATCCAGCTTTTAGAGATGCATTCATAATGAATTACAAAATTCAAGATCACAAGTCCAGGCTATGATTGATTCCAGCTGCTTTTAGACTATAATTTTGTATTCTTTTGACTTTTCACGCTTTACTTATTTGGTTCCCTTTAGGTGCAATTATACAGCTAGGAAGAGGACCCATACTGCGGTTTAACCACCCAGCTGAAGCCTCACAGCTGAAAAAGAAACAGCAGGTACAGTCAGTACCCCAAACATCCACAAATAAGCCCAAGCTGCTTTCTGTATTACTCATTTCTGTCAAAGTCTTTCAGAGAAATTGATGTGTAATCTTTGTTTTCAAATCTTAATTTATATAAAGAAAGTAGACATTTGCGCTGTTGCCATAACTACCAGTTGAAAAGCCTGCCACCTACAGTAGAGTTAATAGTGTTGACACTGTTAACTCTTCATGAGAAGCTACAGTGCCATCCATGTGGCTTTCTGTCATCTTCCTAGTTTCAACTTTGTTTTTATTACCTTGCAACAATGCAATTACAATATATGCTACTGCAGAACGGATTTTGCTTGTTACAAAATGTTTGTTTACAAATATATGGGCCCATGTTCAAAATTTGCTTAGCTGACTGTTTTCCCCCTTAGGTACTGTTTTGGTTTTTCGGGCATCCACACAAAGAAGCTGGATGCTTATATCTGTTAGGGCAGTTTTGCACTATTGAAAGGATTCCTCCAAATCAATTTCCATAGCATTTGTTTCTTTTGTCTTGTCATGGAAAAAAAAAGAAAAAAAGTTACACCTTTTTTTTTCTGATTTAGGCCACAAGACAAAAATCAATTACCATAAAAACGATTTTGAATTTTGGCAAACTATAACCCTTATTAACTTTTTTAATGTCTATGAATCACAAGATAAAAATAAAGGGTCCTATATTTTAAAATGCACATGGAGGAACTCCTACAATATTTTGACATTTTTCTAAATGTTATATAATTCAGATTCTGTGAATCTGCCAGGAGTATTGATGATATAGAGTATATACCAAAAGCAAGGCGTTGTATAATTTAATTCCACCATAGACAGTTGTCAGTTATTTCAAACTGTGGGACAGCTTTTTATTCTAGTTGTCTCTTGTCTTTCACCTGCAGAGTGGATTGCTGTCTGCCTCCTCCTCGTCTTTGACTGACTCCTCCAAATCTGCAGAGAATCTATCCAAGGCAAAACTGCAAATCTCAGGGTAAAACATGCAGTGCACTGGCATCCTGTAAAACTCTTCACTTTGCCCCCCCTCAGTCTGCACAATACCTACTCACTGAGCAGTGTTCATCAGGTATGTGCATCAAATCAGAACCATAAATCAAGGCGGTATTATTCTAACAGGAAGGGGGGGACATGCAAAAGGTCTTTGTTCAATGCTTCATGCTGAGCAAGGGTCATCAACTGAGAGCAAGTTCAAGGCTTGCATTTGGTTCAGTATTGAACAGCACAATGTGATATTTTACAGAATCGACACAGAGCACCAAAATACAGTATCTTTGCACTTGACTATGGACACTTTTAGTTGTCAAGACTTTTAGACTTCTCAAAATGTCTTATAGTGACAAAAATTGAATTTTTACCTTATTATTCATGAAGTATGTATGTTCTTTTTTGGGTAATTTCAGTCCAATCTCCTATAGCTACCTTTTAAGCCCCCCCATCCCTATTGAACTGAAATAACTTTCCTATCAAAATGTCTGACTGATCCGAACCAGTTTTATGAATATATCTGCCATAAATGCATAAAATCAAACCTGAAAACCTGGAAGCTTTTTAAAATGTCAAAGGTTTTTAGTGTTTTGATAAAGGGTTTTTTAATGCAGTCCTGTGGTTTAAACAGAACAAGCAGTGTGTGTTTTGAAAATTGTGATTTTCTTTGAAAATCTAAAAAGCTTTTTAAATTCTTTCTTAAGCATACTCTACTTTAAATATTTGCATACCAAACATTTCAAATAACAAAATTGACCCCTGTCGAGGTTTATTTTTGCTGTATGATAATGAGCCAATATCTAGAGCCCAGGCTGCAGATTTTATAAGGTCTATATCATGTAAAATTAATTTGAGCATTTTTTTTGCTATGTTAGGTTATTCTTTCATCGAAATCATGCCCATAGTGGTATTTTCCTTGAATTATGAATGTCTCTGTAATCCTTGTGGGTTCTGCTCTCCCTGTGCTGAGAAAATTAGTTGCTCTCACCTTTAGTTTTTTGCTCTGTTATTATCTGCCCCCTCCAGAAGGTGCCCACCTCCCTGTCTAGTAAACAATAGGCCCACTTAATCCAATCAGTCAGAACTGACATGAGACAGAGTAGTCCAGCCTTTTTAAAGAACAGCCAAACTACCAGAAGTTGCGCGACTCTGTCCTGAAGGGGCTTTTAGGTAATTTTATTGAAATGGATAGGGTTTACACCAGAAGAGACTAATGTTGTAGTGAAGGAAATTGTTTTTCTTCTAGGTTGGGGCAACAAGCCACCAGAAAACAACTCTTTTGAAAGCATAAAAGCATGATTATAGAACCTTTAAATAAACGTATCAAAAAGTTGGTAATTTCATCACAATTTTCATGTTAGAAAAAACTATATTTAGTTTATCAAATGTCAAATGGTATGGATCTTTCTTTTATGGACCTCTGCAAAGTATCCTGATTTCCCTTTTGACATGGAGCATGTACTGTATTCATAAAATATCAGCCTCAAAACCAAGGTAGTTTTTATTTAGAAACTTAGAATTCTATATTAATTCTCTCTCATCTCTCGAATACATGTACCATCACAAATACAAGCTGAAACTTGTCTGATTGCAACATTTAAGAAAACCTTGCTCCATTACTGATCTGTGTCTATGATGGTTTGCTAACTTCCTGTTCATTACAACAAAGTACAACAAAGTGGGACTTAAGTGTCTTATAACAATACTCTTTATATCATCTGGTTAATTAACTCTAATGTATGGAAATCTGCCTACTTCACATTCTTTTTTTCCCTCTACACTTTAAAAGTTCACTCAGAATTTTCATGACATTTGGATGGAAACATGGTTACAAGCAAGCCCTGGACTGGATGCAACCAAATGCAGAGCTTAGTAGTTTTAGGAGGCAGCTGAATCAGTACTTAAAGCTGTGGATGATTTGATAAATGGTCGATATGGGTGCACTCTTTCTAGCAGATGTCCTTTTTCCTTGGATGCAACGGTAATTTAAATAAGGCTCACTTTCAAAGACTACTTCCTTTCAAAAGCATCAATTCCTTTTCCCCACATCCGCTAACTTCTCGTAAATTTTCATTAACATTGCCATTGATTTTAGCTTTTTGTCTGATTGCTCTTAAAAGCCACATTGAAGATATGGCCTGTTCAGGAAAATGTCCCACTTTAAAACTTAAGCAGTAATGTTTTTTCACATGCATTATTTGATAGTTTATACAAATTTGTCACTGTAGTTGTTTTAGGTTTGTTTGTTCTTCTCAAAGCATTTGACTCCTTTGCCAATCCGTATCGATCCTCAGGTCTTATAGTCTTGATGAAATGATAAACGGAAACATACAGATAAAAAGCCCCATTAAAAAGTGTGATCCAACCTTTTTATGTGATTATATGAAGTAGCCTGACAGTTTGAATACCCTGAGATATAAATTTGATCTTAGAATACTTATGCTTTATAGGGTTTCCTTTGTACATCATTTTAAAAAAAAGGATCATTTTATTTTTACAGCGCATTACGTCCCTTGAGCTTTGATTAAAAACTGTCAATAACACATTTTAATGTTGGATCTGAATAGTACATGAGTTTGGGTTAATTGTATCACTAGCTGCAGCCGTTATTTCTATTCACATCAGTGGTATTCTGTGACATCTTTATGCCATGGCCTTGTGTGACAATTCCTTGATCTGCCACTGTTCAGTGAATTAGTGTCCCCAATACTCTCGTCAGTGATTCACCACTGCCTGAGGTAGTGAGCAATTTGAATCCCCTTCCCTGGCCTTTCTTGATCTGCTAAACCTGATGTTTTACAGCATATGAAGCAGTTTGATGTGTAATTTCCTTTACACTGCATCAACCTCCACTAGAACCGTGAACCTTCTGCTGGTTTGATTAATAAAGCTTTCACTCAGACACCAAGAGTTCTCTTTTACCCCTCGGTTAGATTTAGATCTAAATGGTTAATCATCTCAATGTTGGTTACTGCAAGGAAGCCATTATGGTGATTTGCAAAAGTATTCACACTCCTTAAAATACTTTTACCACAGCTACAAAATATGTGGAATTTAATGTTGTGGACCACTTTGTGGCGCTTGTTCATGAAGTCTAAGGCCCCGTCCACACGAAGACGAACCCTGGCCTAAACGCACAAATTTTTCACCAAACCAGCCTCTCATCCACACGAAGCCGGCGTTTCGGGGGTCTGTAAACGATCTTTTTTTTATTCAGCCTTCAGAGTGGGAAGATTCTGAAACGCCGTTTTCGCGTTTCCATCTTTACGCTCTAACCGCATATTTTTTTTTACACGCATGCGTCATAGCGTCGCCTCTAAACACGCATGCGCGACACATCACAACAACAATGGCGCCGTTGCTGCTAATGCTACTCACCCTGCTGTCGGGCTTACAACAGAATCTTCTTCTTCTGGAATATCTCCAGGAAGAACAGAGCAATATCGACGACATAGTTCAGCACCTGAATTTGACTTAACCACGAAAATGGGCCCGCAGGGCAAACATGTATAAATATTAGTGCGCATGCCCAACATTTCGTCGCTTATTTTTGCTTTGGCACCACAGCGCCACTTACAGGCCTGGCATACATTTTGCAGCGTTTTCATGCATTCGTGTGGACGCTCACATTTATTTTACTTCTCCGTCTTTACGGCAAACGTTTTGGAAAATATCAGCGTTTCGTGTTCGTTTTGACTTCGTGTGGACGGGGCCTAAGAAAGTTAAAATCATTTTCTTAAAACTACAAGATTATGGCAGCTTTTCACATACATTGTTGTTAATTCTTCTTTGAAAATACTGTATCTCAATAACAGACAGATGAAGAGTACTTGTCAACGTCAGTTGTCTAATCTTTCCACAGAAAACTTTCTAAATGTTTGCCATATTTCCTACAAGATACCCGAAGCTTGAGATATTTTATAACCTAATCCTTCACTAAAGCTCTCCAAAATCCCTAAACGTTTGCGTTCAGAAGTCTTCATAAAGCCATTAGTTCACCGCCTTTTCCTGATTCAGGTTTCCCCTCTGCCAGTGTTCTCACAATGATTTCTGCTGCCTGCTCATCATGCCTGGTGCTGCAATTCCATTTAGCCTAAACAAACAAAAAGAAAAAAAAAAATGCAGCCCTGCTACCAAACTTTCTTAGTCTTGCCAAAATACATTGAGGCTAAATCCTTTCCTGCCTATATACCCCAGAATGCAATGCAGTTCTGATCAGATTTCAGCAAAACTATAGATTCCCAGCTCCAAGTACTCTTGTGGAGTTTTGTACCAAACATCCATCTTTCAGCATTAAACTATTGCAGTTATTTGTTTTCCCTCTCTAACCTCTATCTCTTTAAGCTCTGGAGATCAGCCAGGAGTGTATGTGATTGATAGATAGATAGATAGATAGATAGATAGATAGATTCTATTCTTGTTTCACTTCATGCCTCACTTGGTATGAACTCCCTTGCAGCAAGGACAGACCCGATCTCAATAAACTAGGAAATAAACCTCGGCAGTAAGTAAGAGCAAATCATTTAAATTCAAAAGACGGCTGAGAATATGTTGTCGGGGAGCAACGTGAGATGTCACTGGACCAGAGGCTTCTTAGGGAAGAGCTCTGTCACAACAAAAGCATCTTTCCCATTATTCACCACATCACTTAAATTCAAGAAATTCCTAAGTTGAAAGTTGAAATGAGGTAACATAATTTCCAACCTGCTGCCAGAGCAAAATTGTGTTTCACTTTTGTGTGTATCCAGATATGATTAAAGCTAAATATCCAACACAGATTGACTTGCCTTATTGTGCCTTAAGGGATGGCATGCATGACAATTTAGAAATTATGTTTGGTCAGAAATTTAAAGTATTTAACAGTTTAAACAGTTGTGTTTGAAAATAATGATGTACATAGTTGGGTTTCTTTTATTAAAGTGGTACCTTACAAACCATCCTTATTGTGTGCAAAAAAGCAAACGTTTTTCTCTGCATTTACATACCAAGACCTAGAAAGCAATCTACTTGTTGTAATGTGTTATGGTTTTTTTTTTTTTTTTTATATAAAATTCTGTGGGTTTGAACAATTTTGGAGCCATATCAATATAGACTTAGACAACTTTTATTTACATTTTGTATACACAAAGTGTATACAAAACTAAATTTAGTTTTGTATATCGAATTTTCAATTTGTGTAGCTTTCCATGACATTTCCATATAATTTCCACTTCATTATCATTATATGCATCAAGATACAGTTGAAGCAAATGAGAGAGAGAAGTGTTCTGTGATGCTTTTTAATGAATGGCTGGTTGTCGGACCTAAAGTGAACGTCTGTTTAAAAAAATTAAATAAATAAAGGTCCAGATTTCAAGGCTTTGATGCAAACTGACAGGCATCATTGGATGCAGGACATCCTCAGAGCTGATCCTTAGGATTTGCAAAAATCCTTTAATCGTTACCAGGACCTGAACTGTGTCCCTCTTGTTGACGCTGCCAGTGCTTTACTTCTGCTGCTTTCACACTTTGGCAACCTGCTGATGCACACAAGGCTCTACTAAAGCTGATGTTTACTGTCAAAAATTATTCTGGGTTGTAGACTTGCATCCTGCCCCCTCCCTGTAGAGTTCTCAGCATTGTATGTAAATCCTCAAATCAACATGCACAGATTCTATTTAATTTCACAGCTAGTAGAGTGTCTCTAATCTCATCCAACCATTTGGGTGTTTGCTTTTCAAATCTAATGAATGTTTTTTTTAATTTTTAAATTTTTTTTAAGGAAAGTAGTGTTGAGGAATATTTGTTTTCTTTTGCCAACTGTTCAGAGTCTTCTGTGTTTATGTCTATATTAAATTACATTTGCTTCTTAACAAAGAGCATAGCAGCATAGCAACATAACAATGGAACCTCAGAATGCAGGATTTTAGTCCCATGAAAGAGTTTTAAATATTTTTTTTTTATTACAGTGATATGGATATGTCGGCCACAGAAGGCAAGTCCGGTGACCCAGATATTTGTCTTCAATCTACAGAGAAAATGACTACGGTACGTTTTTGACCTTTTTTCCCTGCACTTTAAACAAACTACACTGTAGGGAAACATAATCCTAGCCATGGGTAAGCTTACCTGTATTATTGTATTGCAAGTTTCTAAAAGTAAAATTTTTCAAGACTACTTGATAATTTTTAAGTAAATAGCAAATTAACTCAAACACAAAGTAATTTTATGAAACTTTCCATAATTCTGAGATAACACGGCCATTTAGAATGTTAGGTTTATGCCAAAAGGAATATTATTTAATGTTGGCTTTATTCTTTCATTCTCAGTCTTAAACAATTCGGTGTATTACAAAATAACCTTTATTTATATCAATTTATTTTTCAAATCACTGACTGAAATTATCTGACGATACATTATGCTCAGGGCCGTATACTGTGATTTTCATAATAGTTGCAAAATTGTGTTTGTATTTTAAGACTGTACACAGGTTATGAAATGTCCCAGCTTCTTTTTTTATTGCTTGTCAGTAAAACACAACATTAACACTGCCTGAATGCATCCACATCTGCCTCAGAAAATTCAAACCCATCTGTCTGACTTAAACTTCAGCTAGGTTAGTTTCTCTTACAATCCAGACTTGCATGTACAGGTGTGACCAAGAGATTTTTGGTCCAACATGTCCTACAGACTGACTACAACTACCATGCTTTTACGCAGACTTCCCCAGACTTGAAATTGGAGTTTAAACCACGGAGTGTGGCCTTTTAAATTTTGTTGTGGTAAATGCCATGCCTTTGAACAGTTTTGGATGTGACCCCCAATATAAAAAAATTATCTAAGAGCCATATTGGACCAATAAACAAAAAACAAATCTGTCTGGAGCCGCAAAAGTGTAAAAATCTTATATAGTATAAAGTTCACATACCTGCATCAGAGCACTACCCGTTCGACCAGTTGATAGTTTTCGATGCTTCCAACAAAACTAGCAGCTGTAGAGAAGTTTGGAGATGCAATCCACTTCTTAATCTATCTTCGCTCTCCTGTAATTTATCCAGAAGTTCTGCAATCACACATTTCCTCTCACTACCACTTTCTGGATACAAATACAAATATTTTAGCAGCAATGTCAAAATGTATAGCTTTTCTGTTTTATTCTGAGTTTTCTTAACATAAACTAGTTGAAAGAACTGTGAAATCATCACTTTACTGCTTTTACTGATTTATCAAGCCTTGAGAAATCTATTTTGGAAAACATGTAGTTAAGAACATCGGAATTGGATTTAAAAGTGTCTGCATTTACTGAGCAATTTCAACAGCTAGCTCACGTCCAGTTTTGTCCAGAGAGATTTATGAGCCATGAAATGTTCTCCTCCATTGCCTGTTATGCATGTTTATTATGTATATATTCAAACCCCTCCATATTTTTTTTTTCAGGGGTTTAAATGATACTTTGTGAAAGTACAGCACATTGATTGCACTTTGTTTTCATAAATGTAGCGTGTAATTCCTCACTTCATTTCCCCTCATTTTGTCTTTGTGCATTCAAATGTAATTGAATGCATAAATAAAGGTTAGCCCCTAAAGTGAACTGAATTAAATTGGTTCCTTCTCAGCTGTACCAGAAAATTGTAATAACCTGGATAAATCATGATTTGTTTTGTTTTTTTGGCATTTTAAAAGTTTAAATTTCCCTTCTTTTTCTCTCCTTTTCTCATCCACCTACACCACATAAACTAGGCCATTCCTAAAAGAGATCCTGTCCCTCAAACACGTTTCCAGTTGGGCACAGATGCACTTCAGGGTCAAGGAAGCATCTGGGATGGCCAGGAACAGGAGAGGGACTCGTGTCATAAATCAGGGCCAGGGCTTGTGTCTGAAAGTCTGCAGAGGACAGCTCAGAGTGGAGCTGGTGTAGCAAGTTCTGAGAGGGGGGATGTTTCGTCAGGGGATGGCAGCCTCCAACAGACATGTGTCCTGGGCCCTGGTGATAGATGTGGCATGAAGCCAGAAGGGAATGCTAATGAGATCCAAGGTGTCGACGCAGAATGCTATAAGGGGAGACCCTTCTCTGGTGGGACCTCATTAGGCATTATGTCCCTCCTGCAGAAAAGTGGAGGAAGTAGTTTCTTGTCGGTCCTCCCACAGACCAACACTTATTCTCAGGCCAACAGAAAATCACTTAGCAGTCAGGTGGCCTGCTGTCCACCCAAAGATACAGCTTTCCAGGACCAGTACAGTAGCAGTGGGATGGATGAAAGTGAAAGTTTGGGGGAAATTAAAGGAACTGCAGAAAATGCAGGTAAAAAATCAATGTTAGGCTCTTTGTTTGGCAAAGTTTCCTGTTTTGTTCTCGGTGCACGGCAACTCCTTAGGAGGTCTCCTGCAATTGTGCACAAGTTGACAACTGCAAAATTACAACCTGTTGTCTGCTTGTCCAGTCGCATTCTATCTATAGTGAGGGACAGCTACATCCTCTCCAAGGTTGAAGGGAGCTTTGCTTTTTCTCTCATCAGTAAGAGTCCAATTTTCTCTGTTGTGAAAGCTCTACCTATCATACAGCACATCCAAATGAATATAACTCATCACCTTCAGTCCAAAGAGGCAGCTCTTATGATTCAGGACTGCAATAATCTCAACAAGCCCTCACAACTCTCACCCCTGATGCTACAACAAACCGTGACTGAAAAAATGGTAGATGGGCTTCAAATCTCAGAGGATTTCAGCAAGCTGGATTTGGATTCGCCGAAAAAGCAAGTCGAGAATAATATTCAAATAAAACAAGACAAAGTTATTCTAGAGCCTTTGTTGCCTAAACAAACACTACCTGTGCCTTACAGCAAAGGCTGCGAGACTGAGGTTATCCCAACACCTGAAGCTGTAGATCAAGCAGAAACTGTCGACATCTACATTCAAACATTGATCAAATTTCCTAATCCACTTCTAAAGCTACAGACTCTATCACTAAGAGATCTGACAGGTGTTTTACAATCAGTCTCTCGTTTAGAACTTCCCTCCCAGAAGATCATAGCACTCCACTGGTTGAACATAGCCAAAAGTAGTGAACCTGATCCCCAGCCCGGCCTCCTGATTCTGACAAAAATGGGTCTCTACACGCTGACTGCCAGCTCTGGGGCCATGGTCTTGTTCCATCACCTCCCTTTGTTGCAGCTGAGGGATATACGGATGGGCTTTGCTGGCCAAAGTTTACGTTTAATGGGCACAACAGAGGAAAGCATCCTGGGTGTTTATGCCCACAGCCAGAAGCAAACCAAAGAGCTCTGCTGGGCCATACTGAATGCTCTCTGTTGTGGGGACAGCAGAATATATCAGTACCGTCCGCTGAATGAAAACTTGATGAAGTTATCCCTAGCCTGTGATTTCTATGCACCTGACCTGCAGCTGAACTCTGGTTTAAAGCTTTGCTGTCGATTTCAGAAGAGTCTCACTGATCTGCTTTATCTTATCTATTGTAATATAGATGAAGAGGGAGTCAGTCTTGGAGAGTTGAAGCTATTAATGTACACAAGTGTGTCTGTGCACATGAGCTGCCAAGTGCATAGTGAACAGCTGGCCCAGTTCTTTCTCACAGATACCCATCTTGGTCTGGCAAGAGAGGATGTTGTGTTCCCAAAAGCAAAGTTTCCTCAGTTTGACATTTTAGCTCTTTGTCGGTGCTCAGATGTGCGCTGTATACTGGTGCACGATGAAGACGGCAGTGGATTTGTCAGGCTGGATGTTGTTGTTGCAAAAACAAAGGCCAGGGGTCACCCTGAAAGCGTGAAGACGCCAGTTACCCCATTAGAACATCCGTTCAATTCATCTCCACACTCAGAAGTGTGGAAATTAACTTTCAGTTGCACTGCAGAGGCCACCTGCCTGATTAATCACTTGTCAAATGTCTGATCAAGGACTGAACGGTCTGTAATGAACAGCTAAGCTTGAAAACTCTCACTTACTGGGAGCAGTGGCAAAAAGGGCATTCTAACCAGACACTGCAAAGGAGGAATTTTCTACTGAATGAAAGTAAAAACAATGTCTTAAAGTTTTCCCTTTTTATATTGTTGTCATAATGTCACATGGCTCTTGCACTCTGTTTTTTTTCTTTAAACTCAATCATTTTGTTGTTGCAATGATTATTCACTGTTTGATTTGCAATTTTTTAAATATTTCAAGTTTTGGCAAGGGTAATCAAATGTTGTGTTAATTGCTTTTGTATTAATATTGTTTTTATGACTGATAAGATGGAAATTAATGTAACATATTCTGCTGCTGTGTATTATATAAAATATGTTGGTGTATAAAATAAAAGTTAAATGTTCTCCTAATAAGAGGTTTATCTTTATTTTTTACTTCTGTACTCAGGATGAGCTCTGATAGTTTAGCTTTTAACATCAAAACAAAGAGAATTGAGTCTGAATCCCATCTTCTCAGTCAAGCTTTTTGCTTTCTACCCGTCTGTCTACTTTCTTCTCTGATAAGTAACCTAAGAATTGTTTTTTTACTTTGAGCCTCTTCCTTAGTCCTTTCTGGCATTAATCTGTGATAAACTCCTGATGTTGAAACTGGCTTTGTTGAAAAGGTACACATTCTTGGTATTCTGGGTAAATATTCAGTGCAGGTCAGATGTATGCATGCTGGAACTCTTATTAGTTTGCTTTTAAAAGAGCAGTACACTCTTTGTCCTCACACTTCAAAAGTATAGCACAAGGTTGTCAATTGTTTTTACTAAACAGTTGAGCAAATTTTTTTTTTTAAACCCTTTTTTTTTGGCATAACCAATGAGTTTTCATTCAGGTTTAGGTCATTCTCTGAATAGGCTACACCTGTGTAGATGCGATGGGTGTTGGTCTGTGTGCAATGCACTCCAGTAGATTTGTTAGACTTACTCCCGTCTGCATCCAATGTCGGGAAAACTGCGGCGGCTTCACAGCACAGTGCTTGATGGGTAAAATGTGGGTGATTGCATCTAAGCATGTCCTCTCCATTCATCTGTGATGAATGTAAAATCAATTAATTCAAGGTATTATTAACAGATTTACCAGAACTGTGAGTTACTTCAATACTTGCTGTCTCTGCTATTGAGCTCATATTTGACTTTGGTTTTTCAAAGCAGAGCGATATCTAAAAGTTACAGGACAATAGCCCTCATGAATTGGAGTTTTAAACCATTAGACCCAGTCTAGGCTTTGAAGCCGGAAATGCATAAAGTTGGAGATAATCTCTTTGAAGGCTTTTTACTTTCTGAGATTTGAGGTGAGGTTAAAGAATGTACAGGTCACCATCAATCCTATTTATTTCATATGACACAATGTGTTAAAGAATTGGCATTGTTGGATAGGTTATATAATGGTGGGTATCCAAATCTTAATCTGTGTTGCTGCAACATTCTAATTATCCTAGTTACAGACTACATTATCAAATCGGGGAGGGGTGCACGACAGATTGTACATTGGGCCGAGTTGTTTCTCGCATTTCCATTGTTGGGTTTTATTTTTTTTATTTGTTGGTTTTAAGTTTAAAACGAATGATATATGGATTCAAAATGATACAATTTTATTTGACAAATTTATTTACATGTTATATCGGATTTTATTGTATGTGTTGCATAAAGCATTGAGCAAGAGCACAGCTTAAAGGAAACATTCAATTTATTTATATAGAACCAATTCACAGCACGTCATCTCAAGGCACTTTACAGTTCACCAGATCAAACAGTCAAATTGGTTCAAAGTTTTCTATCTATGGAAAATCAGTTGATTGCATCGATTCATTGACTGGAATGCAATCCCTCACATTAAACATGCTTGTAGCGACAGTGGAGAGGAAAAAAACTCTCTTTTATAAGGAAGAAACCTCGAGCAGAACCAGACTTGGTGTGAGCGGCCATCTGCCGAGGCCGACTGGGGTTCAAGGAGACAGAAGCAGAGATGTAAAAAGGCGGCCCGGACCAGGAAAAACACAGCCAGGCAGACGAGCTCCGAGCCAACTCCCATGTCAGAGGATGAAGAGAGCACATCCAGCCAGTCACAGTCACATTGCTTGTTGGTGTCTTCTTTCTTTCCACTTGCACACAATGGCTCAGAACCAATGAGAGCTAAGGAGACCCTCAGCATGATGCTGCCACCCCTATCATCATTATTACTAAAATGTTATTTTTCGAAAGACAGACTAAAACATTCTTTTGTTTTTGGTAGAATAGCCCAGTCTTTATTCCTTACCATTAAACAGTTTTCCTGAAGGCCTGTGGTTTGTAGCATTGTTTGTTGTAGCTGTTGATGTTGTAGCATCTTCTAGCTTTGACTGGTTGAAGCCTTGATGGTTCCTTGTTATTCTCGACCAACCTCTTTAAATGAAGACCAGTTCTGCTATGTAGAGTTGTGAACAATATTTTTTTTACCGTAATCTGAAGGTTGTAATTGGTTTGTTACTGGGATACAGCTGGCTCCATGATTATAAATAATTTCAAAACTGGATTTTGAATGGATAAAAGCTGTTTGACATCAAGCCTCTAGAATCGTATTATCAAAACCCAAACTCCACAGTATCAACACCTCATGGGTAATGCCTGAAAGCTGTTGGTGAAAGAAAACCAACCGGTTTAGAGGCTATCTACAAATTCTGCAATGAAGAGCTGTCAAAACGTCAGCTAAATTATTATGAGAGACTTCCTGATGGTTCCAAACTTGAGGTGCAACCTCTTGATAAAAATATATACAAAATTTGTAAGGCTGTATATATAATTAGGGGGGCCACATGCCGAAGGCATGGCCCACCTACTACTATCTCACATATTTATTCCGCGTATTATACTAGCTTATAGTTCTCCTCGCCACCAAAACTTCGGCACCTAACTAGTCCCGCACGGTTTGGCGGATCGGGCCCAAAGTTGGCACACGCGTCGGGACCAATGGTGCGATGCGTGCTTGTATAAAACTTTCTCATTAGTCCGAAGGTTCGCGAATTATTAGCGAAAACGTCGCAAAAAAAATCCCATAGGAAATGAATGGGGAGAGGGAAAAAAAAGCATAAAAAACAGCACTTCACTGTGTCGGCATACATTCATGTAGAAAAACAGTTTAAAGCTCAGTTTGTAGATAAATCCTTCGTCTATTTAAAACTGAAGACGGCATGTTGATAACTGCTACGGTTTTTGTATAATCAGACCTCAAGCGCCACAAAGTTTTAGCAAAATCCACCCTTCTAGAGTGGAGAGACTGAAAAGCTAGAGTGTGAGGCAGCCGTTTTTTTAAGACCAAAAAACATTTTAAACTCGCCCTCACGGCCACATATTTATAGCTAGAGTCACCATTTTTGGTCAGTTTGTAGACTGAAATCTCTGGACCCACACAATGTCTTCGGAATTACGGTAGGATTAATACTTTTCCTTAAAAACCCTCCAGACCGACCTAAAATCGATCAAAATCAGAGCCGTTTTTCATTGGTTTTGGAGCAGCAGTGGGGAGAAAAACGAATGACATTATGTGTTTTCAACTCGTCATAAATATTTTTCTGAAAGACACACATACACCAAAGTTGGCATAGTTGGAGTCGAAGGATGGCTGACGGTCACGGTGAAAGAATCTTTTGAATAACTCATACGGTTTTTGCTCAGCAGTCGTTTGTTCGGAGGACATTTTAAGCACCAGAAAGCTGGGTGACAGTGAGCTGCTGTAGCTAGCTCAGTTAGAAGCTAAGGACTGAGGACCCGTTTTTTCTTATTCTTTCTCTTCCCATTCAGGTTGTAGATGACCTACAGCCATGAAAGTTACTCCAATTGAAGACAAGATATAGCTGTCGCTTAGATAAAAAGAATTTTTCAGATATCATTTATGGTTTTTACTCAGCAGTCGTTTGTTCGGAGGGGTGCTTTAGCAGCAAAAAGATGAGAGAGGAGCTGCTGCAGTTAAACCAATGGTAGGAGCAGGTGGGACCCACCATTTTGTTTGTGCTTCGTTTTGGGTTGTGAAAGACCTACAGACATGAAGGTTACCCCAGTCTGAGACAAAGGATAGATGTTTCTTTCACTGAAAGAATTTTTCAAATACCTTTTACGGTTTTTGCTCAGCAGTCGTTTGTTTGGAGGGTAAGCACCTGGAAGCTAGCTGACAGTTAGCTTCTGCAGCAGCCTGCTAGTGTGCAGCTGCTGACATCTTAGTGTGAGGCGGCCGTTTTTTTAAGATAAAAGATTTTGTTCTTGCCTCACGGCCACATATTTGGAGCTACAGTCACCATTTTTGGTCAGTTTGTAGGCTGAAACCTCTGGACTCACACAATGTCTTCGGAATTACGGTAGGATTAATACTTTTCCTTAAAAACCCTCCAGACCTACCTAAAGTCGATGAAAATCAGAGCCGTTTTTCATTGGTTTTGGAGCAGCAGTGGGGAGAAAAACGAATGACATTATGTGTTTTCAACTCGTCATAAATATTGTTCAGAAAGACACACATACACCAAAGTTGGCATAGTTGGAGTCGAAGGATTGCTGACGCTCACGGTGAAGAAATTTTTTGAATAACTCATACGGTTTTTGCTAAGCAGTCGTTTGTTCGGAGCTGTTGCTCCCATTCAAAAAAGCCTGAGAGCTAAGGAACGATAGTGCTGCGCTTTTCTCTCTGTCACTGACAGGCTCGTTAAGCGTTGTCAAGGTAACCGTGCTTCAAAGAGATTTTACCTCTGCTGTTTTAAACAGCACATATTAATCTAATGGAGGGTGAAAGCACTGATTTAACATTGGGAAATGGATACTATATGACTGCTGTCCATGACACTTCCCTTGCCACTCAACACTGATAGACTTTCAAAATAAGACTCCAGGGACCCTACAAAATAAAAGCCTCTATATTTTTTACATATATTTATTGCCCTATATGGCTCAACATTATGACCCAAACTCAACCCCATTTTAGAGAATAGACTCTAGGAGACTGTTTAAAACACAACCTAAGGCAAATTTCAAAATAAAAGCCTCCCATTTCATCTTCATCTACTGCCCTAATAACATGGAAAAAGAGTGATTTAACGATTGGAAAGTCATCAACTATCATTGCTGGGTCTGAACATTTTCTCTAAACACAACTCTGTTGGACTTTCAAAATAAGACTACAGGGACCCTACAAAATAAAAGCCTCTAGATTATACTAATGCAATAATTGATGCAAATGGCTCAACATTATGACCCAAACTCTTCCAGGTTGTTTTTATTAGACTCTAGTGACCTTTTCAAAA